GATATGCTAATTATGTTAAATATAATATAAATGATAATAATAATATAAATAATAGAAATATAATAAAAGTTATGTTTATCCTTTTTGGCAGATATGTCATATACGACTGGTCTGTCAATTTCTGCCGGTTTCAACAGATGGAGTATAATAACTGATTTTTTTGATAAAATCAAATTTTAGAAAAGAGGAATAACTCACACATATGAATGCTACTGGATTACAAAACCTATCAAAAATATAATTCAAAATAATATCATATGATCTGACCTTTTAAATCTAGAACAAGAGCTAGAACTATATCAAAAAGTCTTAGCCTACCAAATATACTGATATGATTCTTTCAAATGCAGTGAACTCGCTCTATCAGAAGAATAATATAAAAAAGGATTTTACGATAATTATCAGATACTACATACCTTCAGCAAAATTCTAATAGGTATACCTATAAATATAAAAGAAATAAAAAAATACCAACCACTCAATAATCTTACTAACACTATATTCTTTTACTAAATCTCTATAGATATACTTATAAATGCACAAAATTGGAAAACTAATGGGTAGTATCCTATCATTTAAAAACTCTATTAAACTAGAATACATATATAAATATACAATATATTACATCAAGAGGATTTACTAGATATATCACAAAAGTAAAACTCTTTTACATTTTAATATAATAAAAAATAATAAATTCAAAGAATATATTATCGCAAGAAAACTAAAAGCAATGAAAACAATATTTCTATTACTAGGAAAAAATGATCTATAATTTCTCAATCTAAGTAAAATACTTAAACACTGAACCTTCAAATACTAAACCCAAAGCAGTACTATTAATCTACTTATCAATCAATAAATATAAAATTCATATTTCAAAGATCTTATCGAAAAATATATGAATAGACCCATCAATAATATTTTTGATCAAATCACCTATCTCTAATACTTTAAAAAATATATAATTCAAAAAACAAATTCAACTAATATAAAATAAAATACATATCAAGATCAACTTGAAAATTATATCATTAAAAAAAAAGGAATAATAATATGTTAACGATTTCTAAAAGTAACTGATAATGAATTATATTTTTACTAAATACTACTAAATAATATTTTAATAAGAAGCGAAAATAAACTAAAAGGAAACTACTTAACCTATTGAGATCAATACATATCTTTATTCTCAAATATGACTAAAAAGATTTAATGTAATACATAAACTTATATTGAATAAATAAGATAGATTATAAACTTAAAATATTTAAAAATTCTAGATTAGTTACTAAAAAACTTAGAAAATATAATACCAAAAGACATATTAAATATCCTAAAAATATAATTCAATTCCTTAAAAATACTATCACCAATCCTTCCTGAAAGCATCATCCATCAATTATCACCTGATTAATATCGTATTATATCTATATTAAGATTCTACCTAGAAAAAAAAAGTGTATGAAAATGCCCTATTTTTTTATCACAGGATCTGCAGGAACAGAAAAATCATACATTATTCATCTTCTAATAAACTCATTAAAAAATAACCACTTCAACTATTTCCTAATGACATCCACAAGCGTAATTACATAAAACATAAAAAGTATAATTTATTTCAAATTAAGAATAACTACCATCCAAACAGAATACTGAATTCTAACAAACCATAATGATGAACTAAAAAAAAACTCAAAAAAGTTGATATAATAATAATAGATGAAATCTCAATAGTATTAAAAGAACTCTTAAAATTCATATCAAATACCTTTACCATCATATACAAGAATGCTTTAGTATTCAGAAGAATTAGCATTATAGTCATCAGAGACCTAACACAACTACCACCCATAACTGGATCACCTATATTCAAATCATCAACATAGAAATTATTCTACCTTTTCTTTTTACATCAATCTAAACATTAAAAAAACAATTAGAATTCTATGATATGCTAGAAAAATTTATTTAGAAAACATAATAAACAAAATCTGAGAAAAACTACAAAAAAAGCATAAATAATTTGACACTAATAAATTAATTGATCTTCTACTCAATACTATAAATATGGGAGGGTTTCTAGGAAAATCAGATTGAGAAATTTTTCACTTAAATTAAGAGCTTAATACATTTTAATCTAATAACATCAAAAACTAAAATGCAATAAAAATCTCAATTTTGTTAAAAAATTCCCAAAACTTAATTTTCCTAGCAATCAACCCATATAGTAAATTAATGTGAAATTGCTAATAAGATAAACTAACTACTTTACTTAAAAGATTTCTATTTTCAAAACTGATGAACGATTTAGGGAATTCATAATAATTTTTTACATCTCTGATGTTTCAACATTTGATTCACGCTAGTTGACGTTAGAGATCTTTGTTGTTTGTTTCTCTCGAGTCATTCAATTTATCTTTACGGGAAATTAATATAGAATCTCCTGTTTTGATTCTTTGGTTTTATTGATTTAATGCGGAATGTCTTGTTACAGTATTATTATAGACCTTTTTATTTAAGTAGCTAATTTATTTATTTAATATTTATTTTTTGGTATTTTCAGAAATTATAGACGAGGAACCAAAAAAAAAAAAACCTACCAGAAGCAAATTTATTTGTTTGTATGCTAACGCTCAAAACATTTTTTTTTTTTTTGATCCATGAAAATTCAAAATACATTGATTGATTAAGGTTCTAACCGAACCGAGCTGAAAGTCAAAGAAAGAGAGAATTAACCTCAAAATGATGTAATAAAAAAAAATATAAATAAATAAAAATTAAATACGGTTATGAATGAATCACATAATGATGGGCAATTATTTTATTTTCTTTCGATGGTTCATTTATGTTGTATCATTGTTTACTGTATATACAAAAAAACTTTAATTCTCGATTCGGATAGCATGCTCAAGTACGGTTTCAAATTGAGATTTATCTTTTTTCATGTAAATATGTTTATAAGAATGTTTATCGAACTTGCTATCGGTGGCATTCAATACATTAATTAATCTATGACTGCTAATTCGAACCAGATTTATCAATCGTAAATATCGTAGGCACCTTCGAATTTTAAAACGTTCGCGATGTGACCAAATTTGGGAGGCAAGAACAACACCCATTGACATGAGATTATATCGAACTTGTTTCAAGACGTTTGTTTATGATATCGAGATTTGATTAATTGTTTGACGTACGCCTTTTAAAGAACGATCAGGTCTATAAATAGATACCCCAACATCTCCAGAAATCGGACGTAGCACTTTCCAACAATTGATTGGGTTCAATTATGTGGGTGGGCGTAATCTTCGCTCGATGTCAGAATATAATGTACAAAATGAATTCATGCCTTAATGAAATATTAAGGTCTTTTTATTTTTGTTTACAATTTTGAAATGGTGATTCTAACAATTGTATGTTCAAATCTGGAAGAATTCCAGAAATATTGCTACATGAACTAGGTGCATAACAATTAGCAACGTGAAATTCAATGAAAGTTAAATGCCACAATCGTAATTGGTCTTCCAATTTAACTTGCGTCACGACACCTCCTCTTTGAAAAGAAAAAAAAATGCCCATAGCAAGTATGATTATTGTGAGATAACAATTCATGTTAATGTAGCTTTTTGTCAAGATAAATAAAACTTTACAAATAAAATAAAAATATCAGAAGAGACGATCTCTGAAAATCTAAATCGGGGTACGCGAGAAATCGGTAAAACTCGGCAATCGTCGTCTTATAAACATCCGACACTTTCCGAGTCTATACATGGATAGGTGGAAAGAGATGATAAAGATTTCTGAGCAAAAAGAATGTGAGAGTTCTTGGAATCCTTAGAACACAACAATTACACAAGAACGGTCGCATTTGAAATAAAGTTTAACGATATATATAGAGTTTTTTTTTTGAATGTTTGAAATCGTATAACCGAGATTTAAAGTTGCCCAGGAATTACCATCTGCAAAACTTGTTCATACAAGTAGCGAATAAGTGAACAAGCTTCGTTGCTGACAAATTCATTTTAATGTCACCCAACATAAAAGCCATTTTTTTCATCTCGGTCAATCTTTTGATCCAAAGTTTCACATAACCAGGTTAGGATAGGCGCGAAAACAAATAATACGTCACATAATAACAAATAGTCTAACCGATTTTGTTTATTCAGCCGAAACCTTGTTTATATAAGGAAACAATCTCGCAATCAGGGAACAGCCACATGAATTACAAACAAAGTAACAAACAAATGCAGCCACTTTTTAATGACGCATTGATACATTCGAGAGAAGATCGATAGGTACTCATGGTCGTTAATGCACAAATAGGTTTACATTATGGATTTCCCTTCTGTTTCATAAATAGGAAACTAAAGAATTTTTATTTTGTTAAAATTAAATGTTTGGTTCCTAACAATTTCGGATGAAAAAAGAAAAACTGTATGCATGATAATACCAAGACTTTCTTATTGGTTTTAATTTTACACACTAAAATTTATGCATATTCTTACTTCGAAACAAATATTAACCATTTTTTTTTTGGTGCAGGTAATCCTACCATATTTGTTAACAATAACCACCAGGTCGGCAAAAACTTCACCATTTGCATGTCTCTTGCATACATTGTGGCTAAATTTTTTAGACGTGAATTTGGCAAAAAATAATAGTGTTTTTGCGTTACATAATATTAATTATTTTATGTTGTGACAAATCTCATCGAGAAAGGTAAAATTGAAAAGCTCGTTTAACAAGATACGTTTTTATTTTACAAAGAGTTGATGATAAATAATATATAAAAGGTTCATTTTTTTTTTTTTTTTTTTTTTAAAAGAAAAAAGGGGGAAATATTACAATTACGGAACGAATTCCATTTGTGGTAAATCTGACTTGTTTTTTGATTAGGAAAATAATAAAAAGGGGAGGGGGGTCCCCAAACAAAAAAAAATAAAAACAAAGAAAATGCGAAACAATAAAAAAAATCATATGAGAAAAGAAGATAAAGCGCATATATTTACATAAATAATTATAGGAAAAAAATTAATTGAAGAATTCAGATTTTAACGATGTATCAAAATAGATTGCTTAGAAAATTTATACTTGTGTTCCATAAATAGGGTAAAAGTTTTGTAAGTACCAATCCAGCTGCAGCTGCTCAAAGAAAACATAATCTTGCTGTATAGGCTGGTTACATTCGTTTGTAACTTGCAAATCGATTTCTAAATTACTATCCTCCTCCGGATAATTGATATACTGATTAAATGATTGCTCTAATTCTTGCTGAGGTTCCTCAGGTAAGAGATCTGATGCTGGTGCAACAACCTCTTTGGGCTTCTTTTTGGAATGTTTAGTGAATTCGACGTTAGGAAATGCGGTGGGTACAAACTGATAAAACACATTTCCACAGTTTGGTGGTGTTGCTTTTTTGGAATTAATCGTTTCAGGCTTACTTTCTTGACTTTTTGCCGCCTTTCCTTGATTTCGTTTACGAACAGCCGAATACTTTGAATTCTTCCATATAATCCTGTAGGATACGGTTTGCTTACGTAATTCATTTAATTCGATTTCCACATCTTGCGCTATTTTACGATAGGCGTCCTTCACATATTTCGGTTCATTCTTCCAGTAACCGCTAACCAACTTTGAGACATCGGTCATTCTTAGATTGTGTTTTAAATTTGAAAGCTGTTCTAGGAACGCTTTGCGATAAATCAAAAAGGCATTGGGACTCTTGGATGTAACCTTGGAAGGTTTGCGTTTATTCACGATGTCGGAAGCTTTGATAGTAGGCGGATACGGGAGCGTTATTAAAGGTGTTTTCTTGGTAGTTTGAAAACATTTATTTGAACAAGACATGTCGTGCGTTTCGGTCTTTAAATAATCCATTGGACAAAGTAACGAAGAGAATTTGAAAACGTTGAACGAAAATTATATGACGTTAAAAAAAAAAGGCGTGAGTGAATATAAAATTTTTTGAGAAATTGTAAAGATATTATACGAATTTCAACTCAAAAAACTGAAGGGAAAAAACTCCACGAAGGTGAATTTTATATCTTTTTTTTTTTTTTTTTTCCAAAGCTTTTGCCCAGAGTAATAAATAATATAATCTCATGCTAACATAAAAAAAGGAAGTTAGCGCATGTATGACAAATAATAAGAAGATTTGGAAGTATTAAAAAAAAAAAATGGTGAATCCAAATCTGATAGTACATCAAACTTATCAATTAAATTAAACTTTTAATTAAAAAAAAAAAAAAGTATTAATTCAAATTTATTTTTGTCATTCCGAATTCAATTGATCCAAAATAAGATAACAAATCTATTTTAAAACAGTTGCATATATATTAGGTCATGTAAGACGATAATTAGTTCTTTTATTTTTTTTCTCAAACGGTGACGATCGTTTTCAGTATACGGAAAAACAGTTCAACTCAAACAATTCATCATATTACTTGGACATGAGACTTGTTTTCCTTGACTTACGCTATAACGCAGTATCTCGTCGATCCAGTTATAATTGATTTTCTCGATTTAGAAAAAAAATAATTTTGACACCCCGAATTTTACCAAATGAAAAGTGCCATTACATAGCCACATGTTATTTTTACAACTAAAAAGTAAATTGTTTGGTCTAAACCTCAAATGTGCTACCACCAAGATATTTTTAAAATTGCTAAATAAAGTACAAAGCTGCAATGCAATCGACATGCATAAGAATCATTTGTTGTTCGAATTTGCCACCGCACCATGCACGTGATACTAACGGGTGACGTAATGATATCATTCTCTTGGAGAATGACAATGTAAAATTATGAAATCGTGCATGATGATTTTATTCTTGTTTTATATATAATTTTTTTAAACAAAACTATCATGTTTGTTGCACAAAGATTTGTACAAAAAAAAAAAAAAAAAAAAAAAAATGAATAATTCAAATCAAAAAAAGATCACATAAAGAAAATTATGAGCACAACGGATTACAACACCGAAAAATGTAAGTTTTAAGATGATTGTACCAGTCTTCAAAAGGAAAAATAAGACGAATTTTCATGCAAAACAAAGAATGATTTACATAAACAATCCATCATTTGCTTTTCATCATAACCTTGTTATTTATATTTTCATTCGTTCTGTTCCCTCACTGTTACAAGATTATCAGCTGAAAAGAGAAGTTAAGTTCAAAAGTATGGGAACTACCGAATTCGAAATTAATTCGTGTACAAAAAGAAGTTAATGTCATAAACAAAGCGCATTCTAAACATAGAACTATTTTGCCGCTCTTCGCGGACGGTTCCCCTGGCTGATTAACTACAGCTTATAATCGCCGATGCATATTTTATTCTTTTAATTCAGCTGCAATTATTCTTGGCTCATTGTTTGAAATTTTTTTTTTGGAAGCTTACATTTTCACAGGTCATTCCTATTTGGTTCCCATTGATCATTATCAAGAAAATTTAGCCATTTAATTTATCTTTTTTGATAATGTGATTCACTTGTAACATTTTTTTTTTTTTATTTTTCTTTGTTCCTTTAATAACATATTGAGGATTCGATAATTTAGATAATATCATATGTAAACAATTAAAAATTAAGGGTTTCACATATGAACACAATAAAATAGAAAATAAATTTATATATATATATGTGTGGTTATAATTAACGCGTTATATTTTATTTAAGACTTTATAGTAAGAAATTGTTATCACATATTGATCATAGATGACAAATTATATAAAATAACGTGTATTTAATTTTTTATAATAAGGCGTAAAATTGGTTTTATTTGATAAAGATTTTGCGAAACTTTTAACTCAACTAACCCAACTTGGTCATCGGAGATCCCGCTTGATTGTTTCCTCTTTATATAATTATAATATAAACGCGTGTAAATAAATATTTTTTATTAACGTATTGTTATGATATTACTCGTAGTCCTATAATAGGAAAGGGATTTTTGAAAAAAAAGATTTTCATTTTAGAACGTTCCCAAATGGGAGTTCATATGTCTATTTAGGTGGTTGGTAACATAAATAAAATAATATAACGATTTGATATCCGCAATATATTTTTAATGGGGAAAAAAACGACGCTCTTTTTGTACACGAAAGGTACTTTATTACGCGTATCGATTTCAATCGATTATCTACATTCACTCGACAAAATAATGAAACATATGGTGCAAAATAAATAGAATGCATGGATAACTCTAAAAATTGGATCACTCTCAATAATTTGATATACATAAAATATATTACATGATCATATGATTATGTTTGAACATAAAGTGAAGAAAAAAATTTTTTTTTTTAGTCTCTTAACATTGTATGTATGTAATATGTAGTGACACTTATTTTTTTAAATTAAAGCATATATATATTTCATAAATAAATTTTCTTAGAAAATTCTTATTATTTTAAAATTTTTTTTTTTTTCTTTTTTTTTTTAAAAAAAAGTTCCTTAATGATGATATTCACTATATTCTTGTAGTGGACATAAATCAATAACGCTTAAATTGTTAAGATTCCAATTATGTTGAGGAAGGAAGTTGTTATGAAGATCGTAATTCACAAAATTATCGTATTCCAAGACTTGAGGATTAATTTGATTTTCGATCGGATACATTCGGGTACAATAAACCGGATACAAATTTTGATCGCAAGCGTTTAAATGATAAGCGTATTCCTCTTCTGAATCATTGGATGGAGATCCGCAAGAGTGGTCAAAACTTCTAAAATCACCTCCTGAAATCATTCCAGAAAATTCTACTAACGGATAAGAGACTGGATTCAGGGAATTTTCAAAGCTGGATTGCACGTTCACTTTGTCAAGTGATCGTGAAGTTTTTTGATTTTCGGAAATAGAGCAATTTTGGAATTCGTACGTAATCTCTGTTGTATCTGCGGCGGCACCTTTGAGATCGGTTAAAGAGTCACTCGTAGAGTTGTTCTTTGAACATTTTTTAGAGTTCCGCTTCTGTTTTTTGGACTTTTTATCAACTTTCCAGACGACCGGGCATACTTTATCATGCTTTCTTTTTTCCTTTAGCTCTTCATCGATTTCTTTTGCGATTTTCATGTATGCCTTCTTCACTTCTTCGCTTTCATTCTTCCAGCGATAGCTGACCAACTTGGACACATCGATCATCGTTAGTTTGTAATCGAGGAGAGTAAGGTAGTTTGTGAAAGCTTTACGATATATGAAAAATGCGTTCGGACTCTTTCGAAAAATTCTTGCAGAAGATTCCCTTTTATTAATAAAATCTGAGACGGTAATAAATGGGGGAGGGTAGGGAAGTTGAATGTCTTGAGGTGGAACATGATGTAAAATTAATTCACCATTTTGTGAATTGATCAAATGAGTGTTGTCAAATGTCATCTTTATCAACGATTTTTTTGAAGTAACAATAGAAAATAATTATTGGAAAAAAAAAAAAAAAAAATGAAGAGTTCAATTTATTAAAGATCAATGTCAAAATTCGTTGTGAAATTTTTTTTCTTTTATAATATTTTTATTTAATATTTTTTTTTTTTTACTGGCGAAAAAAAAAAAAAAAAAAATTGTGCTAATATAATTGAATTCTTTTAGTGATAACCTGTCGGTACTCAAACCCTTTTGGTTTTTAGTTCGCTTTTTATAGAAGAATAAAAATTGTTGATCGACTCTGTGTGCGACAATCATAAATTTATTGTTTGCAGGATAATCTTTTATGTAATATGTAATATTCTTCACGTTGCATGGTTTGGAAGAAAAACGAGATCAATTATTTATCAGCTCACTAATTTGATTTTACGCCACCTTCACTGAGGTTGATATTTTTATTTGTTTGGGGTGTCATAAACGAATTCAAATTTTGATATAAAAGATATTCCATATTAGGTCGTAAATTCTGCCATAAAGCATAAGATCTCCCTTTTGCTCTTTTCAAGTAAGGGTAAAAGAAAATGTGGATGGTTCGCCATCCAATGGTTTTTCTTTTTACCAAAAAAAAAAAATTGACTATCGGCCGGACCACCCGCCACCGCTGTTGCCGGATCAATAAAAACCCAGTCACATGATCGTGGCTTGTCCACACAACAAATGCACGTGCCGAGTTTCAAGAGTTTGAACGGAATTTTAAATTTGGTAGTTTTAAATGATATGAAGCTTTTGAAAGATTCTGCAAAAGAAACCTCGGAGGTGACAATGTAATAAATAACAAGATAATTTAAATCTTGTCCCTTTGCTTGGTAAATAAGAATGAAAGTACGTGGTGTTGAAGATCATTTGTTCATTGGTTACAGCAAACATTCATGACAAATCCAAGTTCCAAAAAGTAAATAAATGCAACATAATGACGAAGATGAACAATTTATGATCCCTAAAAAGATTTATTAAATTTTTGGAAGAACAAAATTTTAATCTTTTTTTCTTTGTTAACGAAATTTAAAAAATAAAAAAAAAATCGGCCAGATTTAAGGTTGGTAATACTAAATACTAATTTAGCCAAGCATCTCAAAATGGCGATTAACAATAACTTTGATTAATAAGGATAAGACTTCTTCGGGTGTGAAACATTAAAGATTTCATTAAAGTCATTTTGCGCCACAATAAATTAATGGCAAAAAGTCTCCGTTGACTTTGAAATTCGTGATGTCTCTTGCATGAATGTTTACCCTCAAAAGGTTTGAGGCTAACCGTTAAATTCGATGAGAAACAGGAGAAACGGATATTAATGAAAGGAAACAATGTTTACAACGTGTTTAATATTAATAATTCATTTTTTTTTTTTTTTGAAAATCATTAAATTGCATCAAAGGTGTCACCATTTAGTGGCATCTATGATCAATACTTGTTTGCGACCTCGCATAAATACATATTCTTTTAAAGTGTGCAAATACATTGTCAATTGATCATGTATTTTATTTCGCACAGGTCTGATTTGATCAGATTGTCTGATAAATAATGCAATATTAATTACATAAAGCTTAACCTTAAATGATTTTGAAATTTCATTTCAATCTCGGCTATTGATGAATTTAATCTCATCATTTACACGCTTTATTTCCAATTCGTTAAAACAAGAGGATTTACCCGCGCGTTGCATGCTCACTTATCGCGTTGTTTGTAAATTTCTTGGATTACATCATTGCCTCTTAAATTGTATTACAATATGATATTCATGCTCTTTGAAAATAATACCTTTTCTTTTATAGTCTTAGAATAATTCTGATTTCAAGAAAAAAATAAAAAAAAGAATTCATGTCTAAAAATGAAACCTTAATAATCATCTTCATCATCAAAGATCAAGATTAGAGAGATAATATTTGAACTTTATACAAGGTTAACCGGAATATTAATTTGACGAGATCCGATTCTTAATTTATTGCTTATTAACTTGGTACTTATTATCGTTATACATACAATACAATTAAACAAATTTTTATTTTTTCATTTCTTTGTGATAATTAATTAACCTTATATACTGTATCCTTATCTAAATTCTTAATGGTTTAATCCAATAATATAACAACGAATTTTTTTTTAATTTTTTTGTGTTCGAATCATTCATTTCTTTTCTTTTCTTTTCTTTTTTTTTTTTTTTGACATACCGTCATATCGAAGTAATAAAGCTTTTACATGTTGAAAAATGGTCGTGGTTAATAAATTTTGAGAAAACGATGATACATTTTTTCAAATATATCTAAGGCGAGGGAGTCATCCCTCGCAAAATTTCCAAAGGAATTTTGGTCGACTGAACAGAAGAAGTTGACGTGTCGATGTTTGTCCCTTGAACCGATGGTGCGTTACGATTACGATACCTTTGAGAAGGTACTATTGGTACTTGTTCGGCTTCCAAACTTCTGGTTATCATGGAAGTGTCAATACTTTCAACGTATTGCCTTTGATAAGGGCTCGGATAATCATGTTGCCCAGATGAACTTACAGATACGACCCGATTGACGGGAGACATTTCGGTAAATTGAGAGAGGTTATCACCTAAAGTTGACCAAGAAGGTTCGAGAAATTCCGGATAACTTTGTCGTTGTGAATGATATGACATTGTATTCCTATAATCATACGGTTCCGACGTTCTCAGGTGTAAGAAATGTTGATGTTCTAAAGTATCAAGGTTGCCCAAGTTCAGAATATTATTTCCTAAATTTTGACATCCTGCAGGCATCGAATTCACGTTACCTTGACCATATAGAAAAATCCCTTCAAAAGTATCTAGCTGGATCGATCTGTCGCCCGAATTGACACCAACCCTTTCATAATTTAATGGATTATTTGACGCATAAACGCTCGGTTGTGATATCTGAAGATCCGACGCTAGTTTTGTTGTGGTATGTCGCAAGGAAGGATTTAATACAGAAGGGTTTAAGGCATCATACGTTCGAAACAATTGATGTTCAAAATGTGATGTTTGAGGTGAGACGGATATTTGGAGATTGTTGGAATTGGATACAGGTAAAGCAGATGAAGGTTTGATGGATGTAGAATCCGGTGCGGGATCCGGAGATGTGCGACTAGATTTGATAGATTCCGTCTTGGTCGATTTGCTATCCTCATGTTTTTTCGAACGAGCGATCATCAAAAACCTTTCTGTTTCTCGTGCCAACCTCCTGTATTCATCTTTAACGCTAGGTGGTTGCAAGTGCCAAGAAGTAGATGCTAAAGTGGATACCTTGGTTTGTCTCGGACGAAGGTTCTGTCTTTTAAGTTCTCGAACGAATTCCTTACGAAATATGAAAAATTCATTCAACAATTTCTTGGACGTTTTCTTGTTATTCAAGAGGTCAATCGCCAAAGCACTCGGGTCTACATTTGGTGGAAATGGAGGATTCACGAGAAGGTTACTTCCGGTGCATTGTCGTTTTACATTACTTTGGTCGACGGAATTACTCGAAGGGGTTGCAGAACTTTCATTTCTCTCATATTGAACAAAATCTGGAGAATTAGTCATGGGGAATTTTGTTTCAATTTTTGATCCTTTTTCACCAAAGCTTTTATTACCACTTTCTTTACCAACACCTGATAATTTGTCACCCATAATTCAAAAAAAAACGTTAAAGGTGAATGTTAAAGGGAATGATTCAAAAAAGTATCAATCAAAGTTATAGAATACTTTAAAAATTATTTATTTTATACGTATTAAAAGAGAGGGAAGGAGAGGGAGGGGGAGGTGTAGTATGAGAAAGTACAAGGTGCACTTGCCATTAACAACAAGTTGGACGTAAAGTCTTGGATTTAACGAAAGTAAGGAAGGAGTGGTTGTTAAAATGATACCTTGAATCACGTTAATGTTTGTTTTTTGAATTTAAATATAGAAATATCGTTACTCATTAATTAAAAAAAAAAAAAGCTTGATCCATTTCGTCGACCTTTTTAAATACTTTGTGATGATTTATCAGATTGTATGACTTTCGGGAATGAGCTGATATGACAAGTACAAGTATTTGAAAATATTCATAATGATTTCTCATTAGTAACTTAGTGACACAGCAAACTTATTTGACGTTCAACAAGTGAACTTTATTTAACATGGAATTCTAATCAAAATATCACGGACGCAAAATTGCGGATAATAAAGTCTCATTGTGAGCAAAAAAACCTTATTCACTATGGGATCTAAGGAAGATCAGCTTCGTAATTGATTCCCGTTTCTTTCTTTGGAGATTAGGGTCAAAAACAATAAAATCAATAATCAAAGGTCAAAATCTTTACGGTCCGAGACATCCGCGAATTTGCGCTAGCCAAATTCTTTCGTCAAAACGATAAATTCTTTTCGAAGATTATGACGATAAACCACGCTAACGTTACACGATATGTGAATCATAATGAGAAATGGAAATGTCTAAAGGTCACACCGTCACCAATAATGGAAATGCTTTAAAAGTAATCATGCAAGCATTCAACAAAATATTTGATCAAAAGGAAAGAAAAGAAAAAAAAATTTTTTTTTTGCAAGCACGTTTGTCCAAATTTGTACAGAAGTTTCCTTTTTAGTTTACAATGATGAATATTTGTATTCTTTTTTAATTGCCATGTGGAAAATGTGAAGATGTAAAGGATCTCAGCGTCAACTCGGTGAAGAAAAATCATTTGTTAACTATTAAGGTAAGCGAAAATGAAAAAAAGGCATGTAAGCTGAACCTGGTCTGTAACGTTAAAAGGAGAAGCAATTTGCATGGAAGAAATTTAAAGTGGAAGAAAGGAACTCTATACTCAATTGTTCACAAACCCTTGTTACAAAAACAAGGTTTAAACTTTTATCCTTTACCGATTTTGCGTGTTTATTTTATTTAAAGGGATAAATAAAGGTAATTAATTTATTTTCCAAAATCAAGCATACTCGGGCCAATTTCATCTCGCGAATAGATTATTATTATTATTATTATTATTATTTTTTTTTTTGATCATACTAAATATAGGTTTATCGTATCGTTTAACCTAAGTAATTGTACCAAAACATATCTATAAAAAAAGGAAGTTTGAATCGGAGTTATTTTTTCCTCATCTACAGTATTTCAACATAAATAACGGTAATGTAAAATCACAGGTGCATACATTATTATTATCTCGGATAATGTAAATAAAGATTTTCAAGCAATGACGAAATCAATGGGGAGATCGAATTTTATTTCATAAAACTAAAATTAGTGAAAAGGGTATGATGAATGTTAATATTCAGGAGATGTCATGTACTTCATGTTCGAAAGAATGTAAAGAATTTCCGGTAGATTGGTGGGATACGGTTGGCGTGTTACACACGCTATTTAACGTTGGTCAACTTGAAATGTTACCAGCACTTGGATATCATCAAGAAAATCTTGGAGCAAAACAAAAGAGGGGTATACATAATGCACGTTAAAACATACAGTAATATTGTTGTTATATATCCAGAATCACGAAACTTCTCATGTCGTATAATTAATTGCATGATGCATAATCAGGGTTCCTTTTTGATACCGCTAAGGGGAAATGTGATCCTTGGCTTATCTCCTTGGTATAAAAATAGGAATAAAGGGTGAATAAATAAATTAGGTTATGATGAATCAAATTTTTTTCCACAAAGAATTTACAATATAACGATAATGTTACTTTTAAAATGGATTCTATGTACTATTTGTAAGTTAGAACAATAACCCTTCCAAATATACTGTATATTGAAAAAAAACAACTAACAGCAATTCAAGATGATGGTACCTAATTAATCGGGAAATTTTTATCGTTCTTCTGTCGTTGCTGTCTATAATTTATATATTTTTTTATTTTTTATAAGTGATATTTTATGTATTTGAATGCTCAAGTCAGGTTCCGACTAAAATTAGCATCTTACTATAATAAAGTTAAAAACCAAACTTTTATTTATTTAAATAAAATTATTAGTATTAAAAATAAATTTCAGAGAATTTTAAATAATGAACTTTACTAAACATTTTGGAACGTAACAATTCTGTTAAAAAAGAAGTTGAAAGAAACATAAACATAAATATTCGACCCTACGTGGAAGGTGAATCGGTAAGAATTCCTTCGACCCAAATACCTCAAAACAATACGCAAGCAAATATTCAATTTTTTGATACAAACATTATACACATTTAAAAATATTTGTTTTTCATCCATTATGATGTATATTATATATGCACGCATTAATGAGTTTCATTAAAATCTATTATACAGTATGTTAAAGAAGCGGTTTAAGAAAAGGTTGAAAGTAAAGATGGTCACCGCAATTAAAAAAAATGGCGCAATTGAGTTGCAACTTAATTGAAATTTGAAATAATTATGGGTACCATCTTTAGTTGAAAGGATTAATTTATCATGTTTTCTGGAAGAGAGAACTCTTTTTTTTTTTTTTTTCAGAAAAAAAGGAGACGCGTTTATAAAAAACGATTCTTTTCTCAAGTTTAAAGTTTTCATCTCATTCTAAACTGTAAAAATTTCTCAGGTTTAAAAATTTTCAATCGAACCATCACTTAGTTTTTTTAGCTTTAAGTCTTTTCGAATTCTTTTATTATTTACATTTATTTTTACATTCTCGTTTTTATTCAATAAAACTTTAACTGTATGGCACCAATATTCTATACGTCTTTAAATCGTGCATAATAAAGAGCATAAAGATTTTAATATTTTTTTTTTTTACATTTGGGGGTTTTCTTGCCTAATCCAATTTCTGCTTTTCACAAAAAATTTCTAATTCCCTGACATTAAGGATAAACCTTATCGTGCATAAAAATTTGAATATTAACGCCATGCGAATCACGTGTCATTAAACGAAAATCATACCATTTAACATTCAAATTATTGGGGCTTTGTTTTTTACATATAAGGAAAAATAATAAATAATTGAGGGGAAAATCATGCAACTCTGCCATACCTTAAAATAGATGAAATTTATTCATGAACCCTTAAAAATTAAAACTTGTTTCATACGTCATATTTTAACGATAAAAATCATATACTGATATATATATATATATTAGTATTATTATTATTTTATATAGTCAACATATTTAAAATAGGAGGCTTAATTACATAATCAAAAAATTTACATAAAAAATAATAAATCATAAAATAAAAATAAAATAAAAACAAAAATAAATTTATGTTCTAATTTAAAAATAGGTGAAGAAGAGAAAGTAATTTTTATTTTATTTTTATTTTAATATCTTTATCTTAGCTATTTGAGGAAACTCATACACCAATATTTTCCTCGATGAAATCATTAGGATGGTTATACTCGTTATAATGCGATTGTTGTTGAACGTCAGAAAAATGACCAAAGGTAAGACAATGTCCTTCATTGAGAATCGGAATTGCCATATTATCAGGCAAAGGTGTCGAAAGTTGATTACTATTAAACGAGTGATTCCCTTCAAAATTCGTAATTTGCGAGTAATTTTGAGTGGAGAAATGTGGGTAATGATCGATCCGATTCCAATTCATTGGTAATTGATTATTGAAGTATTGATTATTGTTTAAATTGCAAAAGTTATCGTGACTATAAAAATTCGTGTATTGCTGAGGCACGAGAAGAATTGGAGCAGGAGGAGGTTGTTTTATGTGTGATTGTTGCGAGTTAATCGTTGAAGAGGTAGTGCGTTGGATGAGTGCTTGTTGCCTTGCGTCAATAACTAATCTTCCAACCTTACGAGCAAGTTCTTTATATTCTGCTTTAACATGAGATGGTTCTTTTTTCCAGGCTGCACTGACATAACCAGACATGTCCGTCATTTTAATTCGGTGTTTATGTAACCTTAACTGATCCAAATATGCAATACGATAAATGAAGAATGCATTTGGACTTTTTGAAGATACTCGATTTTGCCTTCGTTTTTCCAGGATATCTTTGGGATTGATTTGCGGCGGAAACGGTACTTTTATGTCTTCTGGTTTCATTTTATAAATTTTATGTACAAAAAAGAATTAAAGAGACGTAGAAATCAAAACTTTTTTTTTCAAGTAAAGAATGAAAGTTTTGTCAGGCTGCATTTATATATGGTATTTATTTATTATATGCATGACTCATCTATTTAAATCAACAGATGTATATTATAAGTTTTAGACCATTGAAATAATTCTATAGATGTACAACAAAAGAAAATTTTTTGGATGCTGAGTCTTTCCGGAGTTTATTTCCGAAAAAATATGATTTCAAATCTTATCCAATAATAGCAGTGACACGAATCCATGTTACACAATTTCCACCATTTTCCGTAGTGTATAAACTAAAGAGAATTACGCGTCTTTAACACGTCTGACAATCCAATTCATTCAATCTGGAACCTCGTGAAACGTAAATAAAATCCTGTTAAATTTCGAATTTTTGGGGGTAAACCCAATTTAGTGATTCCTTTTTCAAGTTTATGATTTTCACGAGAACAACGTAAACATGCTTGATTTGGTAAAAAGGGTCCTTTTGCTTCTTTTCTTCATGCGATTATTACCTACCATATACTGTAAATAATGATTTTTTATTCTAAATTTTTTATTCTTTTCATGCACCTTGGCAAAAGAAGGTCACTTTTTTTTTTTTTTTTTTTTTACTCTAATTAAATAATTATAATAAACCGGTTGTTTTTTTCGCAGACGGGATGATCTCGATTACGGTTTGATGTCAATATATGCTTAATTTATAATTTAAAGTACCCTAGGGTCAATTTATTGATGGATTCCCAATCTCATCTCTGTAGGAACCAATAGAAATTTATAACCTGGCAAAGATGTCCTTGAACAGGTTCATTTTTTCTATTTTAGTTAATTCCATTTTGGAAAAAAAAAAAATAAAGATAGATAATCAATTATGTGTTATTATTAGGTCACCCATTTGTAATTCTGTAAAGTCACACAATTAATAAATGTTCATACATTTTATAAATTCACAGACTGAAAACCCATCGAAAAATTTATGTGCCCAGAAATTACAAATAGCAAGATTTGATTGGACGAGGTTTCAAGCCTTACTTGTTACAATTATGGAAATTTGAATTAAAAATCTTTCTGCATCGCGAAAAAACGGATCCTGATTTCCCACTGTAAAGTTACACATCATGGCTTCTTTTGCGTAAAAAGCATTCGACGTAATTGATAAGGCGTTTCGGAGTTCTGGAGACTGCGGTAGTTCCATTCTCCGTTAACCTTTTTTACTGCGTGCACCACACAAGCTTTTCAAATGAGTGGCTGGGAAACTTAATGTGTGGCTGAGGCAGACGCATTTGCAAGCGGTTCCCAAGTCACGCTTTGATTTGACCAAAAATATGGTCATTGTATTTTTTAACATTGCAAAAAAAAACATGTAACGGCACGAGTGATAAAGATTGCGAGTTCGTTGTGACATGGGAGTCTTTTCATCATTTCATTTACTCAATAAAGAGAGGTATCAATTAATTCAATACATGGGATATCTAATTTAAACTCAAAAGGTTTGCGCGTACATTATATATTCTTAGCAGGATTTGAGTTTGCCATTATTCTCATGCTTTTGTCCGATTATGCAATGTACAAACATAGATAGCGAACTCCTTCCGTCCGTTCAGCTGTAGATCAGCTGATCTCGGAGATATTGAATAAACAACTCCGAATTTTTTTATAAATGTTTTATTCTTTTTGGTTTATAAGAGAAACTAATGGATTTACAAAACAAGGTAATACAATTCACAACATACGGAATGTTTGAGTAGGGATTACCGTAAATACACTCCAATTGATTAATTTCTTTGGTGAAGAGTTTTTCCACTACGTATAATCAAATTCAACATAAATAATGATGAATGATCCACTACATTTATTCGCACTTTTCCAAATTTATTCGAGATTCAAGAGTTAAGGATCCTTGGTAATATCCAGGTGTGAGAAATAATTGAAATCTTTTGTAATAATAAATATATATTCATTTACAACTGTATATAGTATTGTTAAATATCATCATAAACTTACATGATTGTCCTTTTATTGAGTATAATGTTATAAATTCTATTTATGATTGTTCCTTTTTTTCAGTATGATATGAGTAAAATATGCTTTTTGCATTAAATCTTTGTTCTTTCATTAAAAAGGAACACTAACATCCCCTTCTATGATATAAATTTAAGAGGAGATACAATGTGCTATCCTTTTTTGTCGCAAAATCATATTTGATGCTGTAAATATCCCATCCCCCCAAAAAAATTTCGATTAGTAATGATCCGATTTGGAATATAAAAAAAAAGGTTCAAAGTAATTGGTACAGTACATATTTAATTAACATATAGTTTGTTTGATTTAAAAAATAGATAACGCTCGATATGATTTTCAATAAAAAAAGCAATGGAACAACAGAAGCTGACATGAAACACAACAATATAAAGTTTTTGATATAATCAATTCCAATGTTTTTTTATATTTACGTTTAAATTAATATCGTGCTGTGTGGTGCTGTGTTGCTATGGTTGCATGATACCAAAGAATTTGAAATTTTCACTGTTTTCCCAGCAGAGGGGGTGAATGACGTTAAAATAATTTCTAAATATGGGTGGCTTTTATTACAATTTAAGGAAAACAATATAAAAAATCACACAGAAAGCATGACTTTGTTTGATTAAGTGCATAAGTTTATTTTTTAATTTTTGCAACAAGGGGAAAAAAATAATAAAATAATAAAAAATTTTAAATGAATTGACGCATTTTTTTTTTGGTAATTGCATATCTTCATCTCAAACGCTGCGCCACATATCCATACAAAAATGACTTCTCAATTCTTTATTTATTTTATTTATGATACACATATATAATTTTTTAAGGTTTTACCGTGTGGAAATTATTTTGAAAAGAGCCCTAATTCATCGATCTTTTTTAACAAAAAAAAATGAATAATATATAGTAAAGCTTTTAGAATGTTGTAAACAGTCCAACAGCTAATCATAAGAGATAAATTACACTTTTGAGTACTGGAAATCAACATACTTTTAGTATTGCAAAGATATATTTGTAATTTGATTCCAGGATTCGAAATTTTCCAAGTATAAAACATATCTTTAACAAAGCCACGTTATTTATTAGTGCCGCGAATATCATATTGGAAATTTGGTTGACATGATACATTCCTAATTTCGAGGCATCCTTTCGAAAGAAGGTGAGTTTTCATAATTCAATGAAGACTTGGAAAAGAATTCTCCAAAAACAAGGTTTTGAATTCTATGATCGTTCAGACAATTAGGATTTTAATTGGCCGATATGTTTTATTGTACCTTAGACCTTTGCAATAGAAAGGGGAAAACTGTCGGAAAAAAAATCAATTTTACTTTTATATGTCAAATATGATTTTTAGGTCAAATATGTTCAGATTTAGCATTAACTCATTTTTTTATTTTTTCCTGCAGTTTCTATTACAAAGGTCCCATTTAGTTTCAATCAACGGCAGATTTATTAAATGAGGTTTTGGTTTAGATTGACTCTCGGTAAGCATACCAAACCACCTTTGGTTTTGAAATCTGGAACTTATTGTAGGACAGTCTCGAAAAGTTTGGGACAGGGAAAATGTACAATACTGGCCGTTTCCTTGGGACTAATTCAGATAAACCTACCGCCTTTTCTTTAAGTGTCTTTTTTTTATTGAAAATGTTTGTTCTTTTACTTATCATTTATTTGTATATGTTATAATAATACAACTTTCCCTCCTATTTATTATTTTCGAGGATAAAGATTTTTATCTATTGCTTAAAGTTTTATCTAAACATTACCTTTATTCGTACCTGATAAAGATTAAATGAAACGAATAAATCATTTCCTTAAAAAAGTGCGATTTACATTCAATTTCGACGACATTACGGGCGAGCCGAGAAACTTGATAGTTTGCAGGTTTGAAGTGCATTAAACCTATTTGACCTAATTGATGTTTATTAACAGGTGGTTGATTAATAATATATGTTTTTCATTTGTCATCTCGAACACTTTAAATCATTTGATTCTGATTTTTAAATATTAAGGTTCAATCTTTTCATAATTTTATAAATATTTGTTACAGCATATTAGGTTTTTATTTCTTTTTAAATAGGATAAGGTATGGAAATACATCATTCAATTCGTTAATCTTTTATAAAACACTTTTTTTTAAGAAATAAACTTTTTCTACACAAGATCCTTAGGACTCGGATTGGAAACGAACCAAAAGTTTTTTATTTTTTCCTCAAATTAAGAACAAGTCCTCATTGATTACTCGCAAGAGCAGTGATGTGCACTAGGAAGATTGGAAGCACCCTTGGAAGCACTTTGGAAGGGGTGGAAGTATAATTCTCTAATAATTCATTGGATTGGAAGCTTCCAATCAAATTTTTACTATTGGAAACATAAAATGCACACTGCGCAAGAGCAATCTAATTAAAAATCCCTCGAACTCAACTCTTTATTCTTGCTATTTGCTGAAGATTTTTATTTACTTATAACAAAATTGTTTCTGGAAAGAAATTAACTGGATTTTTAAAGTTATAAGATCTACTACATGATTTTCCAAATTTGCAGATCCACTTTTGCAACTTGAGAACTCTGGAAATATTTCTTCGCTTTATATCTAATCATTCGTCAATCTTTTGCTAAAAAAGAATATTCATACTGATGATCATCATCAGAATTTAAAAAGATATGCATTCCACATTGTACCTCAACGAAGATCAAAATGGGGATGAACATTTGAAGATTTATCAAACTCAATTAGCATTATTTAAATACTATCATTGTTTACTTTCTTTCTTTATAATGTATTAGAATTATCTAGTGATGTCGATTAATTTTCCTCTTTACGAGAGAGAGTGTGTGTATATACATGCTATGTTGGGGAAGGATCAGGTTCTGGAGAATTTTTTAATTTTTGTTGTAATGCATTAAGGTCTTAATGTTGGTCCAAAAATTTCTCAGAATCCAAATTTTCCTAGCATTCATCCCATATGACACCTAATTAAATGATGTAAATTTAAATGGACCCGGCCAAAAAGTTGATTTAGCTTTACCCTTTGCAATAAAAAGGGAGGTAAAAAATCAAATTTTATTATTTGTATTCCAAATATGATTTTTTCAGACCTTGATAAGTTCATCATCCTATTTATTATTCGCCCGACAGTTTCCCTCTTTCTATTTCAAAGGACCACCCATATGTATCAAGATCCGTTATAGTGTTATTATTTTGGAGATCAGTGTTTTTTTTTTTTTTTTTTTTTTTTTTTTTGAATAAAAAGCCTTTTTTATTTTGCCTTAACATCCGAATCATGTGATATCATGAGTCTTCAATATTACAATGTTTTTTTTTTTTTTAATTTGAAATCTGATATAATTTGATTTGTAATCTTTTGAATTTGCATTTGTAAACGTTTTATTCCAAAAAGCTTGTTTGCTATTTATGATCTACCGCAACAAATAATGTACAGTAATTAAATTCCGTGCATTATTTGGAAAAATAGATCTTTTTAGATTTTATAAAATGGTTAACTAAAACTAGCAAACATGGTTAATTTTTTTCTGAATTCCTCCGATCCGTGCATTATTTGGAAAGATCGAATCTTTTTATTTTTATAAAATGGTAACTAAAACTAGCAAACATGGAATAATTTTTTCTGAATTCCTCCGAAATCACAAAGACTTTTCTGCGGTATTGGTTTACGAAACACAGATTTAATATTAAATTTACAAAAAAGTAGAAACATACAATGTATTATAAGATAAAAATTATGTATAAATGATTTACATTTTAGGTTTAGCGTTGGGTTTGCGGAAATTTTCGAAAGATCTACGATCAAATTGACCAATAAAATCCCGAGAATCTGCTTATCTAAGAAAGTATCGCGCACAATGATTCATATTTACGCGGAAAAAAAAAATAAAATGATGTTCTAATGACGAATATTAAATAAACGTAATATCAAACCGCATCTGTAATTCACTATAAAAGGCCAACGGATTGAGATGAGGGAGATTAGGTTCCGAAAATCTTCTCCTTTGTCATGTTTCAAAAGGAAATATCCCAAACCAAGAAATGGATTTCAGATTGGAACGAACAAGCATCCGTACTTTTTCCTATTTTGTGCATCATACGACTTATGTATTAATTGTCTCCTATCGTTTAAGGGATATGACCAAATTTGAAAAACAGCACAAAACATTGAACCCTTAAAGATTCCAAAAATCCTTTTACTCTCACTGTGTAATAAAAAATATTAAATCGTGTCCTGACTAATCATTGTTTATGCATTATTTAAATTCAAAATCATCTAATCGGTTGGCAAACTCTATTTACGTTAATGCCCTTTTTTTTTTTCATTTACATAATCGGATTTCATCATTTTATTATTATAAATTGTAGATGAATTCGAAAAATCTGTCCCGATAAATTTGGATAATTTGTTTATCGTTTTTGGCACGGATGCATTATTTAAGAGGTGTTTGTACTCCATGATAAAGCTAAGCCTTTGGATCTAAAGTTTCAATAACGTCGCACATAAAAACTTTATTAACGTGCAAGATTTATTTTCATTTGTTCTATTTTATCATCAATGTAAAAGTCATCAAATGATTGGTTTGAACACAATACAAAATACCGTGTTTATACACTTATATATTATAACACACTTTCGGAAATGAATCATACATTCCGAAATCTTTCCAAATTCGTCTACATAATCTATTCTTTTTTTGCTGTTGTTGGTGTCATTCATTTAATTTCGAAAATTTAATTATATGCGATTCATGATAATCAATGATAAAAAAAAAAAAAAATTTCTTATTCTAAATATTTTATTAAGAGTGCCTGGTCGTTCCAAAATGCATCTATAAAAAGGATGTGAAAATTTTATCGCTTTCCCAAAAAAATCGAGGTGGACTGTTAATTCTACCTAAACTTTATTTGTTTATCTTTGTTTTTTTTTTCTTTTTATTATTTTTTTTTTTAAAAAAAAAAAAAAAACTTACGGTAAAAAAAAAAAAAATAAAAAGAATCAAATCATCCCTCGTTATTCTTTGTTTTCTCTCGTTTCATGATAAACATGTCAAAGGATTCCAAGGATAAATCTCCTGCTACCCAAATTATCACCCTCCCTTTTCCTCCAATTATCACCGCGCAAGATGTCCTTGACAGAAGATCTTCTGAAAGGGTTTCGACGAAAAGCCCAAATGCCTTCTTTATCTATAGGAAAGCCTTTGTCAATTATTTGCAAATTTGTAATTACAATCTTAAAATGCGTGATGTATCCTCAATGGCCGGATTATCTTGGAAAGCGGCTTCCAAGGAGGTTAAGGACGCTTATAAAAAAATTTCTCGTGAGGTTGAAAAACATTTGGTTGATCAGCGCAAGAGAAAGATTGAAGAATCTTTCAAAACTCAAGAAAGTCTTGTGCAAAGACCAGTTTATTTAGAGTCCCCCTATCAAGTTCAAAGTTCTTCAATTCCTTACTTGCCGCAACAACCACCAACTTTGTCGGCAGACGCCTGGTTTACCGATGCCAACCTTAATCAGCATTTTCAACAAAGACAAGAAATTCATTATGATTTTTCACCCCAATATAACGCTTTATCTCAGCTCGCGTTTCAACATGACAATTATAATAATGATAATAATAATAATAATAACCAACTCATCGTTCCTTCATCTCGCGTTATGGAAAATAATCAACAGTTTGAATTGCCTCAATTAAACCCAGAATTGGAGTTAATTCAACGGAATGTTACAACGGTCGTGAATGACATGCCGATTAACTCTGCCATCATTCAATTCGAAAGCGATTCTTTTAATATCGATAATTATAATTTTGTCTTTTGGCCCACGCAAGAAGACGAACAGTTTATTTAATCCAAGGTCTCAAAGAACTTATTTCTGTAATTTCACGTGAATTCTCGTGACTTAAGATTTGATTATGAATTTATGAATTATGTTTAACCTTTCGATGTTTTATCGAATTTTATTTATGTCATGTAAAAGTTTTTAATTTTTATTTTTTAAATCGATCCGATCGATGTTATTATAAATATGTCATGTAATGTTTTAGTATGTTTTTATGGAATTTGCAGTGAACTGACAATATATCGTCAATTTAATAATTCGTTTATTAAATATGTGGCAAAGCAATGTTTTTGCTTTCATATAGTTAGTCTATCATAACAACGTTTTCTATTGTATGGAATCTTTTAATCATGATAAAAAAAATAATAAAGATATAAGATTGTCACGTGATAAAATACGAGATAAAATATTTTTACGCGTCAATATAAAATGAGTGAATTAAATCGAAAAAAAGGGGAGAGAAACACGAGATCACAAGTTTCACATCTCTTTAAAAAAAAGGAAAAAAAATGGCATACCAAAATTGGTTCAAAATGTTGTAAATCATTCTTTATTGTCACCACAATCATTAAAAAATAAGGAGCTTATAAATTTCGTATATGCATTAACTTAAAACGAACGATAAAGAAATTTTTTTAATTACCGTAAAAGTATTATCATACTTACTTTTATATTAATCATACATAATGTAACTTTCAAATTGTAAAATTGTAACAATTACAAATAAGTCGGTACGACTTTAGTGTGAAAAAAAAAAAAATCACAATAACATGATTCGGCGTGAATTACTTAATTCATTGATTTTATCGTTAACATATATGATTACTTTTAAATTTTTTTTTTTTTTTTTTTTTTGTTTAACCCTTGGATCATCTATCAACAAAAACAACAAGTTAGAATTTTGTTTTTAAAGAACACTTTAATGGAACATATAGGAGGTTCTGAACGTCGTTTCGCGTAAATTCTAATACTAATCTGGTATTCTTTGTTATTTAAGAGTAAATTAAATTTATCTGTACATCAATTTTAATAGATTTTCGCGTTTCTTTCTTGATAAGAAATCTCAGATGTATTTTGGCGTCTTGTGACAACATCAAGTACATAAACAAGAATCCTTATGTAAATTCTTACAATTTAAACATTTTTCTTTATTGTCATCGTGTTACGGTAGATGACAGATTTCTCGTGATTTTTGATTCGGTTTTTTCGGTCAAAGAAGCCTGCTTAACAAAAATCTTTTAAAATAAAAAAATCATAAACTAATAAAAATCTCAAACCAAATGAATCTAATTACGGAAGGTCTTACGGAAAGATGACTTTTGCACCAATTATTTCTCGCATCATTCGTTATTATAAAATCATAATCGGATTTCAATAGTAATAATGACAATTCTAATTTAATATTATTATTACCTACCCTCCGTTTTCTTTTTTCCTCGTTTTTTTTTTTTTTTTTTTTTTTTTGTTTTTTCTTTAAAATCACAAATTGATGGTTGAAAAAATTAAATAACAAAAATAAAATTTTTTTCAGGGATAGAATTTGTTTTTTAAAACCTCAATTTCTCCGATTTTAGTAAAGTAATAAAAAAAAAACCAAGATAATTAATGTCAAACGTAAAGGTTAATAAAAACAAAAGGCATAATAACGATACAATCTCATTTTCAGAATTAATAACTTCATTACGAGGCAAGTGCTCAAAACAAAATTTTTGTCGATTAAAAACCTTTTTATTTTAATAAAAGCTCGTTAAATCTTATAGAAGTTCGTGACAACAGATTCTTGAAAGATTTGATAATATGCGTCGCGAAGTCAAACAGCTTCATACAAATACTGATTACAACGAAGTAGATGATTTTGTAGCGGTTGATAATTGCGGCCACTCCAATGACCGTGTCAACTTCAACAAGAGCATCTCCTGCCTTTGTTATCTCACAATATCCTCTTCTTGCAAAGACTTCGGAATCATCAATTTCACTAACGGAAGTGTCTCCTGTAATCCTTAGTTCACCAACACCATTTGTTTTTAAAGAAACTCACCCGAACATTACTCAACCGGAATCAATATCAGATTTTTCAACGAGAACCACATTATTATTAACAAGGAATAATATAGAAAGTTGCTCTGATACCACCACCACGACGGTAAATACTATAATAATGGTGTTCAAGAGACAAAGCGCAAATTTTCCGTTTGCTATTAATGGATCGCAAATCAACTTCCCGAGCGGATTTTGTCATGTTTGGAAGTAATCGTGTTGTCGAAGATACTCCTACCTCGAAAGGTTATTATCATTTTGAGAAAGTATGGTAAGTTTTTTACCTTATTTAATAAACTTTTTCAATTTATGAGGATAATTTATTCAAAATATCGAGATTACATTAGTACCACAGAATCGGTCGCTCTCAAAGATGGCATTTACATTTGAAAGAATATAAAATCAAAACTTCTAAATGAACATCTGAAATTATTACATGTCGCCTTATCAACTAAAGATGATGATGTTGTGAGCTCATTAAAAGGATTCATACCTCGAAGGTCGATGCATCTCACTCGGCAAAAATGTGTTAATGTCAATTATCGTTCTAGCAGGAATGCTCTTGAAGCTGTTGATAGGAGAGGAAGCAGAAGAAGCCTCCAAAGAGAAGTAATAAAGGGAAGTAGCGTATGCAATTGGGTAGTTTGAGAGTTGTGAATTTTTTTATTTATTTAGAGATCCTTAATACTTTTTTGTCCCGAGCGGATCTTTTAAATTCTATCTAGATTTAGTTAATCAAATTACTAATTTGTCACATTAATCCTAATTTTTTAACTAAATTAGTTGATCTATACTGCAATTTAACTGATTAATGCTATTACAATAACGTTTAATTCGATTTTACGGTTTATTAAAGTCACAATTAAGGGTTATGTCATAATAAATTTAACTAATCCATATAACCCATTCTGGATTGCAAAATAAATGATTAGAAATCAAATATCGTAAAAAAAAAAAAAAAAAAATAGATGTAATATCTTAAACCTATTGAACAAACAAAGAAAAAAAAAATGGTTATGATTTCCTTAAATTGTTCTGGTGACTTGAATATAATAACTCGAATTTCGTCACAAGAATGTCGGAAGAAAATAGTGAATAAAATCGGAGGTTAAGTCTTTCTTTTTTTTAATCGTTACTTGTATACACTTTATTAGATTAATTAAATGATAAACTATTTATTTGTTCGAATTTCAAAAAATTCACAGTTCCGCTGGAAAACTTGGACAACCCTTTTATTCTCATTAAATAAAAAAATATGCAAATATCGCATAAAGTTTTACCGAAAAATTGTTGATAAAAAATTTAAAGGTTTTTCTTTTTATTTTTGGCTTTATCCTATATTTTTTCCTTTTATATTGAGGAGTTTAACAGGGTTCATTTTTAACACAAAATTATTAAAAATGTGAAAATATTGGCCCACAAAAGAAATATATATATTTATATATGTGTTCTGGGAGCGCTAAAAGTGCCCTTCTGCAAAAAAAAAAAAATAAAATAAAATTAAATAAAATAAAAATAAAAAACCTCTTATACGAAATCTGGATTATTTCTTATTTTTTTGAATTACCAATAATGTCTACATTAGTATTTCACGATACATCCTTATTACACTTGGTGCTATGATCGAAAACATAAAGTCGTTTTCAAAGTTATTATAATATTTTCGTCAAGGAGCTAGATGGCGTAACAGAAATGGTTGGAATAACTTTTAATGCGTTGTAGAAAGCGCAACATTCATGCTCTCGTTGAACAATTCGCAGTTACTGGTGGTAAGCTTTGATTGTGACTTACAATATCGAATATTCCTTCTCTTATGAAGTTTTTTAAATTGCAGGTCTGATAAAAGAACGTATATCGTTGCTGAAGAAAAGTCTGTGGGACTGGCACCTATAATAATTGAAATGCTCATGAACAACGAATTCAAGCATGTGAAGCTGGTGGCCAATTATGATGAAAATTCTTTAGTCAATAACGAAGCACCTTACAAATGGCTACTATATCAAGCAATTAGTGAATATTTGAGAGATCTCGGTAACAATTAAAAAATATTGTTCTTAACTAGACACCTGCGATGAGATGGGCGCAGCGAAAGTTTTTTATACTCAACAAAGATTTTGTCAATTAGTATAATTAAAGATGAAAAATGTGCTCTAATGACTTTCTCAAATCATCTCAAATTTTTGATATTTTTACTTTGAGATGTAATTTTTACGACTATCAATCCTGCATAGGTTTATCTTAAATTTAAGCATACAGAAAATAAATCATTCTAATTGGTCAGGTATTACTAAAAAATAATCTATTTAATCTAATAAGTTCAATAGATGTTAAAATTTTTTTAAAGCCATTAAACATAAATTATTTTATAACCTATAAAAAAGATTATTATAACTCCCTCTCTTTATCGAAAAAATAATATTTATCTAAACTTTGCAAACTTTGCAGATATATTTTTATATTGTAACTCTTAAAATAATATATAATTTAAATAGTAATTGAATGTATCAAATTAAGAATATTAAGTATGTTAATAAAAAAAATTAAGATTTAAAATAATCTTAATAAAGTAAAATTTGCATATAAAAAGTTAAAAAATACCTTATGAAGATTAAGTTAAAATTATTGATTTTCTTATAATTAAAATTAAATTATATCATATTTTATAGTAAAATTGGTTTTATTTAAAACTTAAATTTATAATACAAGTTTTTTGCTATTATAATTAAATCAAAAATAATAAATCATATAAATAAAAGGTTTTATTTATAATTATTATTGGATTCAGTTTTAGTTATTTTAATGTCTAAGTTAAAGAAGTTGTAACAATTAATTTTACTCATTAAAGTTTATAACTTTAGAATATTTTCTAAGTTCTACAGGTATTTATCATACTTGAATCAATTTAACAATTAATTGCATCTTAGAATTTAAGAATTATTTAATTAAACTTAATAATACTCAAAATCAAGTTAATTAAGGTATCATATTCAAATCTTAGATAAGAAATAATGTTGAAAAGAAAAATAATTTATAATTTTAAATCAATTCCTTTATTAAATAACTTAAAAGTTTTAAAACTTACCTAAGAATTAATTTACAATTTGAGCAAAAAATTATTCTATTTATACAAAAATAATTTGCTATAACTAATTAATTACTATACTATAACTAATTAAATATAGATATTTATTATAATAAAAATATATTTATATGTAATAAAATAATAAAATAAAATAAACTATAAAGAGAATTGAAAGAAATAAAATAAATTACAAATATTTAAGAATTATAAATAAAATAGAATAAATAAAATAAATAGACTGTATAGAAAAAATAGAAAAAAATAGAAAAAATAGACAAAATAGAAATCAATTAATCACTTTTTAATATAATTAAAAAATCATCTAATATAAAATCATTATTGATTAGTAAATCTCACATAATATTAAAAACTATAATTTCTTTTATTAACAGTATTTAAAAATATTAATTAATCATAAATAATCTTAAAAATTCTAATATATTTATTAATTCTAAGATTTTTTTCTTTACTAATTTTTTATTTTACCTTTTTTTTAATAATATTAATTAATTAAATAATAATAATAACTTTACTTAGTAATCTTAAATTCTTATTTTTAAAATTTAAAATTAAATTATAAAAATAATTTAAATTTAATAGTTTATAATTATTAATCTTAAAATTAAAAAAATTTAAATAAAATATATTTATATAAAAATATTATAAAAAAATTAATTAGATTTTCTATTATTAGAAATTTTTAAAATTATTTAAAATTATTTAAAATCATTATAATACTTTTATAATTTTTTTTTTTATGTGCGATAGCTTTGCATAATCTTTATTTAAAAGTAAAGTAAATTTTACAAAATTACAAATTACAAGATAGAGAGTACAAAAATTTCTATTTAGCAATAAAACTAAATCAAAATCAACCTTGCACTGTTTCAGACTAACCTATCCAAATAAACTTAAAATAGGTTCAACCATCCAGTACAGGGGGTGTGGTTGCTACTGATCTAAAAATTCAACCAGTTCGTATCAAACCTAAAGGAGAAAATAAAGTATGGAGAAATACTAAAATTATGAGGTGATGATGAAGGAAAACTGATATTAGTGAAATGTAATTTTCAATCATTGAGTGAAATATTATTGAAGTTTTTAAAATATTTGATATCATTGTAACGATCAAGCCAGATGGATTTTATTTAGAAAATTGCATAATAGTAAGTAGAAGATAAGAGGCTATTTGTTAATTAGAGGTTGTTAATAAGACAGTGTATTTTGTTGAATAGGGGAAGGGTACAATTTCTTTGATCAAGTCAATAAAATTTAGGAGAATCAGGTCGATCATTTAAGGACTAAATGATCAAATCTAGAAGATCCGTAAAATCTTGATTGTTTGAAGTTAATGTAATAAGATGTTATATGAAAAACCTTTTAGTTGAGGATATAATGTCAATGAATTGGTATTCATTTTTAACACAAGTCTAAATGTAATTAAAAGTTTCATAAGTATACGAATATCTAGGATAATTCTATGATTAGTCATATAGATTTAGGTGTCTTATCTTGAGGATTTCTAATATAAGGAGCAGTTCAAGCATAAGTTTGATTTTAAATTTGCGAATGGAAGAGGCTTTGAAGGATATATAGAAGCTATTTTCATTATCATTAAGAATGAAAGAGGTTCGTATCTAATCAACATCTATTGTACTGTATTTCTTAAGGTGTAGAAGTAGTTGTATATTATAAAAATCAATTGATCTGAGAAGATCTTTTACGAACAATCTAGGTGAAATAAGTACAATATCCTCATTGAAATATAAATTGTAATAGTATCCTAGAAATTTGTTGTTTGGTGTGATTGGAGGACTATCAGCTTTGCTAATGCATCAATTATATTATTATAATGATCATTTAAATAAGCTTTGACTTTGTAAAGTTCAATAGAAATGGATTTTTCTCTGATTAACTTTATGATCAGAAACTAAATTGGGTAGAAGGAGATTTTAAAAATGGGATTAAAGGTAAGAGAGAAGGTATAGAAGTAATTCATTTTATCAAAAGATAAGATGACATTTTGTGAGTTTGTGAAAATATTAACTGCAGTATTTATAGAAGCTACATATAAAGCAGATAGTATCGCTACTAATCTGTTAGAGAAGATGAAGGTTGAGAAAAAATGAGTGTAACATTAAAGGAAAGTAAAGGTATTGAAGGATCAGATTGCAATTAGGCTACGTCTATACAGATCGAAAAAGTAGCTAAGTTGATAAGAGAACTATCAATATAAAATGAGAGATTAGTTGATTGTATGAAGTGACTTTTAAGGTTATCTAAACTATTGAGAATTTCTATATTAAAAAATTGATCAGATATGAGTAATGGAGGGGACAAGGTAGGGGGCATTAAGTGTACTATTATTAATTAAATTATAACTATATAAAGCAATTTCATAAAATATGTAAGAGAACAAAGAACAGATATAACCAACAGTTAGAATGAGAGGAGCTTTGATGTCAGCACATAGATGTAAAAGAAAAATCACAAAGCAAGCTTCATGTTTATTTCTCATATTAAAAGGAATGAAGAAAGAATCATTGTTGAGAGAGTATTTTATGCATGGTAACAATAAAGTTTTGAAAGTATGATCTGACGATACATTAAAATGTTATAAGTAAACTATATCATTTTCAATTCTAAGTACTTTTCTAATTATAGCAAAATGGAAGTTTAGATGCTAACTCACAGCAAAGTGTGTAGTACTTTTAATATGAGTTAAAGGAATCAAGAATATATTATTAGTGTGTGGGTGATAATAAATTGAAGGAATAATTCTTGTGTTAGGTGATGATATGAGCAATAATTGTAATTTAAGAAATCAAGCAGGAGCTTTGAGAATTGCCAAACGAGTTGCTGAAAATTTAAGGTCAGATAATGTGAAGAATACTACACTATCTGATGTTGTAATCTGATCAAGAAACATAAGTTGTTTGCTTCTTAAGACTGAAGCAAAGGTGTGATAATCTGTTTTATTGAAAATTTCACATAGAGAAAATTGTCTTCCTTTATGCAATTAGCCTCAGTATTGCTATTAGAGATGGTAATATTAAGTGATTTAAGGGTAGAGAGTAAAGTAGACTACCAGTTTTTAAATTTGAAGGAGTTATCATATGGCCAAAATGTTAAAGGTGATTTAATAAGCCATTTATTATTTTGAAGTAATCTAAAATAGATCAGAGATATAGTTCCTAATAGATCTTTGTTATTGATAAATTTGATAAAGTTGAAAACTTTTGCTTGAATTTGCGCTGAATATAAGTGTGTGATGTTATAAAATAATGATGAATAAATAATAACTGCTGGGATACTTTTAGATAAATAAAGATTTAACCTAAAAACTTTTCAATATGACTCTATAATTTGATCACAGAATTTGTAGTCAAGAAATGTTAATTGAGTGCGATACAGGATTCTTGGTAAGAGGACTGAGTTAAAGACTACTTTGAGTTGTTTATCTGTGAGAAATTTCTTTTTTATTGTTAAAATAGCATTATAAATTTCATTCTTTACTTGTTGTTTTATAAATTAGCAATTTGGGAGAAGAGAAATCCAAATACTGAGATAATAAGTAGATGATTTAAGGTCCATTGGTTTAATCTATTCTTCATTGTATGCTAGTTTAAAGTGTATGAAAATGCTATCGGTACTGAAGAAAGTAATACAGATTTATCCCAGTTAACTAGAATACTATTAAGTTGGTAAAAATCATCAGCTATTGTTAAGATCGACTTAAGATCATCCTTAGATTTACTGATCCAAAGGGTATCATCCATATAGGCAAGTGTAGAGATATGTGTTGAGACTGCAAATGATGAGGTATTACTAATATGTGAGCACCATTCGACTGATAGATTATAACCAAGATCAGTATTTTATATACAATATAATAAGGGATTGTAATATATACACCAAAGAATTAGTGAAATAATTTCACTTTGATCAATACCTGAAATAACTGGATAATGATCTGTATTTCCATGAGCTGTGAAAATTTGATTGAAGCGATTAGAGAATAAGGAAAATACAAAATAGAGAAATGATGAAGGAAGACGTAGACGATTAAGCGTATAAGTTAACATTGTGATATTAACTCTGTTATAAGCTTTTGATATGTCTTGAAAAAGGATCTAAAGTTATTTGCTCTTATATGATAATCAATCATATTTTATGTTATCAAGAATGTGAATTAGTTCAAATATAGAATAAAACGGTAATCTAGCAAAATTGTTTTCTTATAAAACTGAATTTTTTGAAAGAATATCCAAAAGCTATTTATTGATTAATTTCACGATTGCTTTTTGAGGATATTTTAATAAAGTAATAGAACGAGTATTGTTTAAATTATATTCCTATAGTTTGGGTTTTAAAATGGGATAGACAAAAGCTAAATTCCATCTGTCAGGTATGCAGGAAAATTTCAAACAGGCACAAATGAAAATCCAAAAAATATGTTTTATTTTAGGATCTAAATGTTTCAACATTTCATTTGAAATTTTGGAAGGACCGGAAGCTTTATCATTAGGTAATGTTTGAAGAAGTCAGTTCTATTTATTTTCACTTGATAGATCTATAAGGTTTTTATAAATCTGAGGATCAATTGTTTTAATAAATTTATACTATTTTTTCCAGTTATCAGAAAGCGAAACAAAATGGTATCTAGTACCTGTTATTTGTTAGAAGTATCAGTTAGTTTCACGTTTGACATCATCAGCTGAGGTAAGTAAACCAAGATCATTCAGTAAATTGTCAAGGCATCTGTTCAGAACAATTATCTGTCTTTGTCTATTAAGGATGGAATCATACATCTTGGCTTGATCATCATGAAAATTATCACATCTGCATTAAAAAGCTACTTAATTTGTTTTATTTTATATTTGTCTTCTTCTAATTTGATCGCGATTAAATGTACTTTAAGTAACTCAGAAATATTCTGTTTAATTGTAATGAGGTCAGAAAGTTGAGGAATGCTAATATATGTCTAGTTTAAATTGTATTTTTTTGAGATATCAAAAATAATATTGTATATCTGAGGCCAGTTTAATAGTAAAGAGTTGAAATAAATGCATTTTTTTATTGTGCATTGAAACTTTTGTATTAGAACCAATTGTTTATAAAGATTCTTCAGTAGTCTTGGTCTGAGGTCACGAGAATGTTGAGATGAGTACCTTGATGGGATACATTTCTTTGCTACTTTTTTGATACATCCTTGTATGAGATCCCAAAAGAAATTGAATATGTATTTTGAGTGTAATCTATTGGAAATGAGGTTGGATAATTGACAGCTTCTAAGAAAACTATCCATCTTTTTATCAAATTGTGTCCAAGAGTTTTTGTCCATAGCATCATAAAGGTAAATTTTCTTTTTGATATATTTTTTATCATTATTTAAAGTGATAAATTCAGCTATATTTACATTATTAGAAATTATTGAGTAATCAGAAATGTTAGAATCAACACTGATAGTTTGGGCTTTGTTAAAGCCAGCTGCAATATGTGATGTAGTATAAATATGATTAATTCTTGAAAGACGATGATACGCAGCATAAAAAAAAAGATGGGAATAGTTGATTAGCATTATTATATAGGAGATCGAATAAGTTAAAAAGTTAGAAGTCTTCAATTTGGGTGAAGAAATAATTAGCATTTGACATATTATTAGAACAAGCTGAGACTGCATTTAAGTCATCTAGTAAAATAATTTCTATGTTAAAGTCTTTCGCCGATTTAATGACGTTATATATTTCTTTATATATTTGTTCTCGAAGAACTGTATTCGAACTTGATATGTAGCAGTTAATCAATCTAATACGAAATTTATTGCGAAATTGAAAATTGATGAAAATATAGCATCTGTGTTGACTGTGATATTTGTAAATATGATTAGCAATATGTTTTTTATAAGAAGGCTAACTCTGAAATCTGAATGCTGTGACTGTTGATCAAAATTGAAAAAATGCGAATATTGAGATGAAGTTGATTTCAAAAAGGCTAAAGTATTATTGGTTGATTTAAAATTTATCTTTTGAAGGCTTATTATATCTATATGATTAATTTTATAAGTATTGAGCAAGAATTATTATTTTTGTGGTTGAACAAAAGAGCAAATATTATATGTCACAATGTTGAGTTGAGAAGATAATGTATTATTAGTCAAAAATAAATTGTGAGTAGTGTGAGTATTTGTTGTCTTGTTATTTACTATCAGGTCAATAAGGCCAACTCGTTTATAATTCTGTGAGATATTAATTATTAAAAATATTTGGGGATAGGGAGAATAAAGACACTATCAGCTGTTTTTTCATAACTAGAAGGAGGAGCGACTTTTTTAATAACAGTAAAGGTGTCTGAATTGATTTTAAGTTGTGTTTGTAAGATTTTTTGCATGTTAGTGATAGCACATCCTGCATTATTGAGTTTAATCATATTAATTTTAAGGTTGGTTTTGAAGAAGGCATTCTCATTTCTTAAGGTAATTAGTTTAGCAGATTATCTTTTATATAGGGACCAGTAGCATAGGTATACTCCTCAGTTTCCATACCATCTTCATTGAATGATTTGTTTAGTAAATCAGCTTGGTGGGGAAGTAAGATATTGATGTTAAGAACTTTTTCAACCGTAGTAACTTGTTCTACAGTTGAGCAAAGATCTGAATGCATTTTGATAAGTTACTCAGAGATAGTGAACAGTTGATTGAAAATTCAAGTGAGCAATTCTGATTGAGATAGTTAGTTGAGATATCATTTGATATGCGGTATTTATCATCAATTTCATCAGCTCAGTGATGCGATGCATGTATATTAGTATCTAAAGTTTGTTCTTCTTTATCATTGATGGGATAGATAGGGTGATATATTGTTGGTTTTGATCTTCATTTAGTGGTTTAGGCTGAGGAACTTTTGTTTGATGATTGAGCAGAATGATAATGTTGTTTGGCTTAGATTTATCTTTGGTATTTTTTTGTTGTTAGCTCAGTTTATGTTTATCTATAGTCAGTTGTTTCTTAAGGTGGGTGATGATTTAGGAATAATGACAGGTACTTTATAATTACGAAACTGTACTGGCTGATAGTGTTGGTATAGGTATTGAGTTTATCAATCTTGTGAAGCTAAACAGTTCTTATGATAATTCTGCGATTGGTGGTCTGAAACTTGGCAGATAAAGCAAAGTTTTGTATTGGGATCAATCCAGATTAGTCGTTTCCTATCAAGGAAATAAGTTTCACCATTTTTAGCTGCTTTTATAGATTCTTTAGTATTAAAATAGAAAATGGCATATTGTAAATTTCTGTAATTAGCACGTGACTTAAGGATGACCTAAACGATCACTTCAATAGCATTACTGATAAAGATTAAATGGCGTCCATTTGTGTCAAATGAGAAGTTAGTTAATTTCAAAGAAAATTCTGACTTTTTCCTAATATCTTCGATTGACATAGTATATGGGTATACTTTAATTAAATCTTTAAAGACAAAATAATTGTTAAGTTTGTTTAAGGTAGTCATATCTGTATCTTGTTCAAATGTAAAAATAGCTTGTTACTAAAGGTTTTTAATAGACATGATACAACGGAAGATTTTTCTAAAAAAGGAAAAGGTCAATCTAATATTTGATTTAGTAGTCGAGATTAGGATCTCGGTGAGACAGATCAACAATTTAAAGATATACTTAACTATTAATCTGCTTGTGAAGGGTAAAAATGTGTTATTTTTCAAACATGAAAGTTTGAGTATAATTGCATTGTTTGCTTCAGCATGTGAGGTAAAACCAATTCAGACAATTTTCTTTATTGAGTCCTCAGGGTGAGTACGAATTGAGGTACTAATGAAGGATGAGTAATGTGATGTAAATATATCACATGCTTCATTTTGTTTATCTCTATTAGATTTTCTGGGTAAAACTTATCAGCGGCATAGTAAGCGAAGTAGATTGAGACTTCAGTTTCATGCTCTAAGTGATTTTATTTTTATCATTTTGTTTATTGTTGAGACTATTTTCAGAAGCATTAAAGGCTTAGTCCTTATCAAGGAGAATGTTGTCATCATTGTTGAAAGTTTCAGAACCTTTTTCTTTGTCTAAGATATTAGGAAGCAAAGTTTCAACTTCAATATCTGTAAGGCTGTTAGAGGTACTTCCAGAGGCATTTGAAGTTTTAGTTTGTTTTAGTAGTTCAATATGTTGTTTCTTAACTGGACGTTGTTATTATTGGTTATTCTCCATAGGGAAAGAGCGAGCTTGGTAAGATTTGAAGTTGTTATTACAAGCGGTTTTTTTTTCAGTCATTTTTTGGTTTTGATGATTGACAGAAAGAAATCTTTTTTGTAATTAATCCTTCAGAACTATAAAGATAAGCATATTTTTATATAACATAAATCAGAATCTAATAAAATAATAGATTTAATAAAGAAAGTAGGATTAATAATTAATTATATTAAATGCAAACTGATACTTACATCTAAGTTTTTAAATATCTTTATATTTAAAATTATTAGTAATTATAAATAATACTTGTTGATATCCATCAATACTACATTTATTAGTATCTAAAAAATTGTGAAAAGAATTTTAAAAAGTATTTATGAAGTATAATAGAGTTAGTATAATAAATTTAAGATCATATAATATAATAAGAGAATTTTATTATTGTCTGAAGTGATAGACTGAGACCAAAACTTGAACTATAAAAATAATTTGTGATAGTTAAGTTTATATATATAAATCATAAAATTTATAATATTTATTGAAATAAAACTTACTTTAAATAATTTTTATTATATAGAGTAACATTAGAATAACTGATATTTTTTAGCATTGCTTTTTAAACTTAAAATTTCTGATTACTAATTTTATATTTAATTGGATATATTAGCTATAAGATTGATTTTATTTTTATAATTGTATTTGACTACTCTAACTAATTATAAAAAAATAGTATCAATCTATCTCCATTAATATATAATATTTAAAATAGTATTTATAATTTTGATTATTATCTTTTTATTATACTATTTATCTAAGATATAAAATAGAATTTGAACTACTTATATAAAGTCTTTAATATACTAATTAATTAGTTCAAAAAGTTGTTTTTTATCATATTGCTATAGTATTCTAATTTTTGACTAAATTAATCAGGATTATAATTAATAAATGTCACGTATATGTTAAGTTCATAAAATATTATTATTTTGTAATAGTATTTATATATTTTTTAATAAAATAAAGTTTGTCTTTTCTTATATTAATATATAAAAGCTAACTTAATTCTAGGATCAGCTAAATTAATTGTGATTTTATCAGATTATCCAATTTTTATTATCTAAATTCAGAATAATAAATCTGATAATAATTTATTTATAATATTACTATATCAAATTCTGTTATTTTATTAGTAATTTTTTAATAGTTTTTTAGTAATTTTATTAGTAATTCTTTGGTAGTTCTTTAGTCCTTTTGTTGATCATTCTTTGACTTGAAAGTTTTGTATCTATTTTAAAAAGAATATGATATGCTGAAGAAATAACTACTATTATTATTCATATACCTTATTTTTAACTTATAAATATATCTAAGATGTAAGCTAAAAGCAGAGTTAAATCAAACTACTTCTATAATAAATTCATATTTATTTAATATAATTAAAGTTTTGAAATACTATCAAATTAAATAAAGTCGAATTATATTATTTATTTATTAATAAGTTAAAAAAGTCATCAATTATAACAAAAAGATATAAAATGCAAATTTTCATTCCAAATTTTACGAGAAATTAATAAAATTATATATTCTTTGTATTTTGATATGTAATAAAGAAATTAAGCTAAAGAAAAATAGTAGATTCTAATAAATATTCAAAAATATAATTTAATTATCCTTATATTTATTATATAAAAATCACTAATTAACATATGTATTATAAATTGAATTATTTGTTAATTATATATAATTTTATAATTTATTATAAAAATCTTTTATTATTATGATTTATTAAAAAATTTTAATATTTTTTATTAGTGATAAAATGATTATATTAATATGCAAATATATAAATTTTAAAAGAATTATTAAAAAATTTTTATAATAAAATTTTAAGACTAAATTTTAAAATTGAAATATTTTAAAAAGTTTTTAATAAACTTAAAATATTATTAATAAAAAATATATAATAAATTATATTTTTATATAATAAATATATTATAAAATTAAAATTTTATATTTTATTAGCAATTTGTTTATTGAAAAATTTAAAAGTAGTTTATAAGATTTTTAGTAAAGTATAACTATTTTTTTAATATATAGATTGCCAATAATATTAAAAAAAATAAATGATTTTTAAATAGATTCAACCTTTTATATATTTTATAATAAATAAAAATTTGTATTTTAATTAATAAATTAAATAAATATAAATTAATTTTGTTTAAATTTAATATAAAATTTGAAAATTATTTTTAAATAACTATCTTTTTAATAATTTATTAATATAAAAAACAAATATTTCTTTAATATAAATAAAATTAATTATAATTAAATTAAAAAAAGATTTTGATTAAATAATATCTATTTATAATAATAAATATTTTTTTTAAATATTAATTTAGATATTTTTTTCTTATTTATTATAATTAAATTTAATTTAATAATTTATAAAGATTTTAAATTAGAAATTATTTCATATACATTTTATCTTATTATTTTTTATAAATTAAATTTCTAAATTAAAAAGTATATAATTTAATTACTTTTATAAATTTAAAAATTTAAAATAATTATTTAAAATAAAGAATTAATATATTAAAATAAATATTTAAAATAAAATATATTCTTAAAAATATAGTATATATTTAATATAAAATATATATTTAAAAATAAAGTACTTTTAAAAATTAAGTGAATATATATTTTATAAAATTAAAATATATATTAAATAATTAAAAATTAATTTAAATAGTTTAAAATAATATTATATAAATTAATTTACTGATTAAAAAATAATTTATTGAATATAATATTAAATTTCTAAAAATTAAATTAAAATATATTTAGAATACATGCTTTTATATTCAAATTAATTAATCTGTATTAATTAATTTATTAAATAACTATAAGTTAAAAATTAAAATTAATTGAAATAATAGTATTTTTTATAGTTAACTCTAATTATTTATAATAAAATTTTTATACTTATTGCTAATTTATTATAAAAAGAATGATTTTATTTATTTTATAATTTTTTTATAATATTTATTTTAATAAAATAATTATTATTTAATATTATAATTTTAGTTAATATCTTTAATTTAAGCTATTATATATATTATTATAAACTAATAACAATAATATATTTTTTTTTATTAATAGTTTAAATTAAATTTTCAAATTATTTTATTATAAATTAATAAATTATCTTTATATTTATTTAAGTTAATTATTTATTATTATTTAAAAAAATATATTTTTATTAAAATATTTTAAAATGTTTAATTATATTACATATTTTTACTTTACAAATTTTATGAATTATATAATATAAATAATGAAGTTAACAATTATTTCTAAATTTTTTTAATTTTTTAATTTTTATAATATTTTTATTAATCAAAAAAAATTATAATTTATAAATATTAAAATTATAAAATTTCAAAAAGATTTTATTATTATTATATAAAATAAAAAGATAAAATAAAAATTATATTTAAAGTTTATAATTTAAAGCTTAAAATTTTATTATAATTAATAATAATAATAAATCAAATATTTTTAAGCAACTACTTTTTAGAGCGACTAGGGACGGTTTTGACGCTAAAAAATTTCATGAAATATGTGATTATAAAGGTGCAACCTTAGCCGTAATTTCTTTAAAAAATTCCACAGATTTGATTGGTGGATATAATCTACTCGGTTGGAGACCATCGCACACTTGGTGGAAATACTCTTATTATAATAACTAATCAAATCTCTTAAAATCTTTACTATAGCCTTATAGCGAAGTTGAAGTCTAGAATATTTCTTATAATAAGAGTTGACTATATATGAAGACATAAAGAGACAAAAGATATAAGTTTTAATTAATTCTTTTATTAATATTAAAATTTGTATTTTAAAATTTAAAAAAGAGTTAATTTACAATATAAGCAAAAGTCTATCTATTATATAAAATTTCTTTTATTATAGCTAACTAATTACTATGCTATAACTAACTATTTTGATAGATAAAATATAAGTAAACTAAATAAATTAAAAATAATAAAAATAATAAAAATACATAATAAAATAATAAATCAATAAAGATAAAATATTAAAAATAAGTATATTTCTAAATTTTATTCAATTTATAAAATTAAGATTATTATTAGTATTTAAAAGGTCAGCAAAATTTCATAAATTCTTCGTATTTTTAAAAATTCATAGGATTCTCAGTATTTTTAAAATTTTAGATTAAGAAATTATTATACTGTATTATCTGCGTAATTTTATTATTATTAGTTAATTATTTTGTTAATAATAAATGTTTTTTTAAATTTTTATTATAATCCTAAGAAAAATGTATTTAAAAAAAATAATTACTTTAAATTTATAATATATAGAATATACTAAAACTTAATATTTTATAATATATATTTTTTTAAAAAATATAATTTGATTATCATTTTATTTTATTTAATTTAGTTTATAATTTTATTTATAATTTTTTTTAAAAAAAAAAGAAAAAAATTTATATTTTTAATTTTAATAATTTTAATATTATTTATAAGATAATTTTTTTTAAAATTGTAAAATTAAATATATTATATATTATATAAAAATAATTTATAAATCATATAAATTTTATTATTTTATTTTATTTAAATTTAGTATATTATATTTTTATTAATATATATATTTATTTAATAAATTTTATTATTAAAATTTATATAAAAATAGAATAATATTTTAAAATTGATTTATTATAATATATAACTTTAATTATTTGATTAAATTTATTAATTAATAAAAGAATTTTAAAATATAATTATAAATAAATATATATAGCAAAAGTAATAATATAATAATTAAACATAAAACTTATAATTAATGTAATTTTTAATATAAATAAAATAAAATTATTAATTTGTTATATCAAAATTTATATTTTAATTAAATTAACAATAGAAATTTAAAATAATAAAATAACAATAAAATAAACTTTAATTTTTTCATTTATTATTAAAGAATTTTTAATATATCATGATTATTTTATTAAAAAATATGTAAAAATCCTTATATTTTTTAAAAATAATTATCGCCTAATATAATTGTATCTGAAAAATTTCTATAAATCTATAATTATTATTAAAACTTATTAATATAAAAACAAGATAAATAATTTAAAATAAAAAAATCAGATTATTCTTAAATTATTTTCTATTTATATAATATATAATATTTTGATTTATTAATACTTTATAGTATTTATTATAAAAATACTCTCAAAATTTATAATAATATTCAAGTTATAGTTAAAAAATATATATTAAATACTTTAAAAAAATAACTAAATCTTATTTTTAAAAAAATATTATAAATGTTACATAATTTTATAAAAAGAAATTAAAATTAAAATTAAAAAAAAGTAATCTAATCTGATGAAAGTAAAAGTAAAATTTTTGATTTAAATAAATATTAAGTATTCAGATAAAATTATTAAGAAATTAATAATAAAATTTAGTAAGTTATGGAATTACTTTTTAGAAAATGAAATTGATATCTTTATAAAATTAATGATAACTTAAATATGCCAGCAAATTTTAAAAATAATCTTATAAAATTTATTTGAATTAAAGATTAGTATTGAAAATATAATTTTTAATATAAGATATTAATTTTAAATATACAATAAAATTTTACTAAAAATTGGATTGTTAATGATAAAAAGATTGTTTTTAACTAGCCTGCACAATTTTTAATTTTAAATTATATAAGTATTGTTAAAACAAAACTGAATATCATTTAAAATACCTTTTAGTATGAATTATAGAAAATAACATATAAAAAATTATAATAGAATTGAGATCAATATAAGTTTAAATTTAATCAAATATATAATCAAAACTAAAGGAAGATATAGTGTGATAATGAGATATAAGTTAATAAATAAATATATTAGTATAACATTTGTTATTTTTTTTGGTTAAATCTAATTGGTTAAATATTAATTATTGAAGTTACATAATATCATAAACATGAAATCCAAATGTAATTTTTTACGTGATTAAATTTATTTTCAATAAAGTTTAATTCAGAGAATTCAATAAATTTTATTTTATTTTGATATAATTTATAATTAAAAAGTTACAGCAATTTAAAATTTTATATTTAACGGTTGTATTACTTTTGAGCCTGTATATATAAATTAGTAATAAAATTTATTGTTAATATGACATTTCGAAGAGCAAATTCCGTTGGATTTCACGTGACATTTCTAGATTATCAACGAAAAACATGATTTATATCTTTCATATACTCTTTTTATTTATCATGCTCTATTTATAAAAGATAGTTCAACTTATTCTCTATATCTTTCATTTCATTAACGAACAAAAAATGGCATCCTATCAATTATCAATTGACAAACTTTTACGTTTAGCTTTCGTTGCACTTATTATCTTGATTATATACCTGTTTGCTAATGATTTTAATAAATTGAATTTGGAAAAGAATCAAGAAAAATTGATTCCATTTCCAGATTTTCCAATTAAAAAGATAGATGCCGGTCAGGGAGAAGACATTTGGATTTTAATTGATACAAATAAAGTGATGTATATTTTTCAGGTTATCCAATATTTGTGCCGCCTAATTAATTAACGTACGTTAACGATTAATTAATAGCTATATCATTGGAGTACGATCTTACATCATTTTCTAGAAAAGCAAGAAAATGTTATAGATTTTGCTGTCGGTAAAGATGGAACGGTCGTTTGTGTTTTTAGTAATAATGAAATTGCTGTTAGAAATTTAAATACAAATTGGTGGTAAAGTATCAAATAAATGATCATGATCATGTTTGAAGTTATAACTTTAATTATCTTTTATATAGGTATAGAATAGATGATGGAAAACACACGCATCAAACCATTTCGATCTGTGATTACAATAAAATATTGACAACGAATGGAAATAACGATATAATTGCTAGCATTTATGATGCTTCTAATCCCGAAAATATTGACACATACAATTGGACAATTCGTAAGTAAAATCATAAACCAACCATTTGCGCAAGGCAGAAAATGGATTAATTGATAATTTATATATTTTAGTTGATGTCTATTATACTTATTATCAAGTTTCTTGTGCCTTTCGTGATGATTCTTTATGGATTAGAGGTAGTTATCAATATGCTTATCGATACATAAATAAACATAAACAGTAAGTTATCTATTGTAAATTCATAATTAAATTATGTCCTTTCATTTTAAAACCTTCATGATTTTTTCATTATAATTTATAGCATTCCTAGATCAGAAGTTCCATTTAAACAAATTAAAGCTCTAACTGAATAACGTGCAATTGGAATTGACTACGATAATAGATTATGGGAATATGATCGCGGGATTTGGACTTGGATAAGAAATGACGTTATAAGTGCATCAATTAATTATGATGGTGTCCTTTTTATTATTAATACTAGGAATATGATTTATAAATTAAGCAATTAACCTTATACATATACGAAAATGTTAATTTATTATTTATATATGTATTTATAAATCCTGTATTGTCACGTTTCTGTTTGTGTAATGTCCGACTAAAAATAAAAATAAAAAATTTCCGAGATCTTTTTTTTTTTCGTTCTTTAATAAAAAATTATCAAAATGAAGTTGAATTATACAACGAATCATCGAACTAATGTTATTTATTCTAAATTAATATCTTCACAATGTTTGAACTCACAATTCAATATATGTCGAATAATATCGAAATCAAAATTTTCAGACGTTTTTTCTTTTCAAAATAATCACTTATCTCCATTCTCGACATCTAGAATATTATCGCGTCATGCGAGTAAATCTTCTAATAATTATTCTCCAAATTCACCACCAATTAACCTTTTAGCACCGCAGAAACATAATATAATAAATAATTTATCCAAAGTTATACACAATACATTTTCGGAACAGAGAGAACACAGAGAGCTTAGAGAACGACAGTCATTAAAAGGAAGTTTATTATTTGAAGAAGCGTTAGGACTTAAACTAAACTGGAATAAAGATTTATTGTCTGATTTATTACTTCGATTTAAAACTTCACATGAAATTAAGAAAAAATCTTTAGAGTTGGGGTTGCCACTTCATAAGTTTAAAAAAGTAATCAAACAATTTGCTGACGAAGTTTGGAATAACAAACTTCAAAGGTGTAAGACTGAAGATTTACGTGCTGCTTATGACGCTAATGGGGTAAAAAAATTTATTTAAATGTCACTTTTTATTTAATTCAATTATTAAAACCTTTTTTTTTTACCGTCATAGAAAGAGGGTGTTAAAAAAGCTTTAACAAGTGTATTTTTAGAGTATATACCAGAATATTTGGAAGAGCAGGATAAAGAAAAATATCATTCATTGAAACAATTAAGTGATTTGAGTTTTCCTGCAGAATGGCATCCGGCCGCAAGAACTATGCAACGGTATGCTTTTTTACAATGTTATGAAATGATTCTTTGATTTTTTTTGAAAATTATTATTTAAATACACATTATATTATAGTAAAATCATCATGCATGTTGGTCCTACGAATTCAGGGAAAACCTATAACGCATTGAAATGTTTAGAAAAGGCTGAATCGGGCATATATTGTGGACCCCTAAGATTACTTGCTCATGAAATCTTTGATAGAATGAATAGCAAAAGTATCCCATGTAACCTTGTAACGGGAGAGGAAAGGAGGGAATTAAAAGGATGTGATGTTCGGTTAACCTCTTCAACTATAGAGATGGCCAATTTAAATAATCAATTAGATGTAGCTGTGATTGATGAGATTCAAATGATTTCTGATCAGCAAAGAGGTTGGGCGTGGACTCAAGCATTATTAGGTTTACAAGCAAAAGAAATTCATTTATGTGGAGAGGCTTCAGCTGTCAAATTAGTGAAATCAGTATGTGCTAGTTTAAATGAAGATGTTGAGGTAAGAGAGTATCGTAGACTTTCGAAACTTGTTGTGGCCGACGAAAGCCTTAACGGCGATCTAGGGAAAATTCAAAAAGGAGATTGTGTGGTGACATTTTCTAGAAAGGCCATTTTTGGTCTTAAAAACGAAATTGAACAAGTTACAGGTCTTAGATGTGCTGTCGTTTACGGAGCTTTACCTCCAGGTAAATTATATTTGTAAATTCAGTACTTGATTATTTGATTGATTACCAATTTTTTTTAAAAAAAATGCGATTATTAAGAAACTAGAGCCATGCAAGCTAAACTGTTCAATGATCCTAATAGTGGATATGATGTTTTGATTGCTAGTGATGCGGTTGGAATGGGCTTAAATCTGTGAGATTTTAAATTTGGATTTAAGGGATTATTAGATTTAGATCGTTTGGAAATTATTAAATTTTTTCTTTCCCAAGTAATATCCGTCGAATTATCTTTGAGACTGTAAAGAAATTTGATGGCAAGGAAATCAGATATATTTCGATTCCACAAATTAAACAAATCGCCGGACGAGCTGGGCGATATGGTTTTGATAATCCAATCGGTGAAGTTACTGCGTAAGAATCAATTACAGTCATTGCTACGACTTAATGTATACTCATTAAACACTAATTTTTATTAGATTGGAACCCCAAGACATGAGATATGTACAAAAAGCCATGCAAACACCTTCTATTGAATTAGAGGTAATTATTTCAATTTGAATCATGATGTATTTTAAAGAAAAATTATGTTAATTTATTTTTGAATAGGTTGCTGGATTACAACCTACTATGGAGATGGTTGAACAATTTGCTCATCAACTATCTGGTATCGAACAATTTGAAAAACTCTTGGTTTGTTTTCAAGATTCTTAAAAATATTTCTAAAATTTCCACTATTATTACTTATTAATAATTATTATTATTATTATTATTAAAAAGGAAAAATTTGAAGATTTAGCTCGAGTTGATGGTCAATTCTTCTTGTGTAATTTCGATTCTCAAAAAGTAAACTTTATCTTTGATCAAAATTTCGGAAAGTAATAAAACGGAAATTAATAATTAACAATACTTTTTAGATAATCGCCAAGTCGATTGAACATGTTGATTTGACTATACCAGAACGTTTCATTTTTGCAACGTCGCCTATAAATTCATCAGATCCAAAACTCATGCTAGTTATTAAAAAGGTATTACTTCAAACATTTAATTTATTTTTGATTCGTATACATTATAAATGTTGAATATCTTTTTTTTCTATATACAGCTCGCGAAATATCATAGTGACCACATACCCGTCTCACTTGGTTCAATCTTGCATCTTGATGCCAAAGTACCACGGGACATACAATCTTTATCTTACATTGAATCGAAACATCGTGTCATCATGTTATATTTATGGCTAAGGTATTATATTTTTAAGATTTGCAACTATAAGAAGGTAAGGAGTGTGTAGTCTATTAACAATTGCATTATTATCAATCTATGGTACAGTTATCGATTTCCCGAAACATTCTTGAATATCGAAGAAGCACTTGAAATGAAAACAAGATGTGAGGCGTTAATTCATGAATCATTACAATCATTGAAATTCTCAAGAAATCGACATCGCATAACAAAATCAGATGTTAAAAAGATGAGTAAGACATTTAATCAATCTCAAGAACGACAGTTAGCTCGAGAACATAAATCTAAATATCCTAAAAGGATAAGAAATTACGAAAAGAGGACGGAAGAAAGGTTAAGAAAGAATGACGATAAGTTGCAAAAAGTTACTGCCTAAAGATGCGAAATATTTTTAAGAATATATCATTTTAGCGCAGGTGCGTAGTAACGCATCTCCCCCGATTTACAAAGGGTTAGGGTTACTTTTGTTCTGATTATTATCACCCAATAATCTGAGGACGTATTCTGGGATGAACCTATTTGTCGTATATTATTTGACTTTGACACGCCATAACTCATGGTGACTATTTACAGATACCTTTTTAAATAAAAAAAAAGCCATCAAATTTTATCGATAATCTACTGCGCCACGTAACGAACGTCCATTGATTCTGATTGGCTGATATAGATTTGTAATTGCTGTTAGATTAGACGCATTATTATGCATGTAATTTATTTATTGAAAACAGATATTTAATAATAAAACCAATAAAAAAAAACCATTTTAAATTGATAGTATTATAAAGCGTATCTTGAAACTCTTCTTATGTTTAAAAAAGTAAAAGAAACATGTATGTTTCACTTTTATTTTCCATTTTGCTTCTCAAAAGAGTAAATATAAAATAAGAACAATAATAAACCTTATTGAAATAAAATCTTAGAAGTTTAAATTTTTTTCTTTTTTAATATAGATAATGTTTTTTTTTATAAATTATTTTTTGTCGTCAAATATAAATTTAGTTTCTTTGGAAACCCTTAAGCAATTCTTATACTTCTCTTTAATATCTTACACTTTACAATATTATATTAGATATTTGATTATTAAAAAAAGGTATTCCCTTCCAGGTCCTATCCCTTTACCATTCATAGGAAATTTACATCAAATCGGTATTAAATTTGATAAATTCGCTAATGGACAAACGAGAAAGCACGGTGATTTTTGGGAATTTTTCATAGGGAATCAAAGGAATGTTGTCATATCACGACCAAATTTAATACAAGAATTATGTAAGGAAAACAATTCAATAAATTATTTTACAAAGTATAAAGATATTAAGTTAGATTCGATGAATATTATTATCAATTATGGAGTTATATTTAATAATAATTATGAGAAATGGAAATATTATAGGAAATTTTTTGAGAAATCCGTTTGTTCCATGAGATTTTTAAGGGGACTCTCGAAATCCATTCAACATATTTTTAATGACGTAGAATTTAATTGGAATAAACAATTACAACAAAGGCAACAACAGAAGATAAATGATGATTTGATCCCATTGGATTTATCGGTTTGGAGTAGATATTTTTTAACTGATATAATCTTATCAACCTCAACGAAGAGTTCCTCGTATTGTTTAATGAAGGTCAATGCAAACGTCGATCATAACGTCAAACAAGAGAAAATAAATAATTCATTGAAATTTTTTAATTCGATTGAAAATTATTTTAATTCAATAATTTATTCCAATTCAATTCCTCGAATAATTAGAAATAATTTACCAGGGTTCAAAGGTTTATCAGAAACGTTTAAAAGAAATAATAATTGGTTATTTTATAATTTATTAGAAATTATTAAACAAAGGAGGAATGAGATCGCTTTATTGAAGGAAAAGGAACCTATCGATTCATCAGATTTACTGGATATTTTGTTGACCATAAATACTCCACGTGATCCCAATGGATTTGATGGGGGATTGGATCAAAATGATAAAAATAATAAGCCAATGTCCGATAATGAAATTCTTGCCATTATATTGGACATCGATATTGGTGGTCGCGATCCGGTAACTTTCTTTTATCCATGAATTAACGTTTATATTTATGTGTACAGTATATTGAGGTTTTTTTTTTTTTTTTTTATGGTTATAGACTGCAAGTACATTTTGCTTTACGGTGTATAATATTTGCAAACACCCTAAAGTGTTGCAAAAATTTCGCGAAGAAATTGTTGATGTATTGGGTACCGATTTCTTACGACCAATACTTTTCGAAGATTTAAGTAAATTCAAATATCTCGAAGCTGTAATTAAAGAGACTCAAAGAATCATCCCATTAAATCCATTAATACCACTTCAATCACATAATAAAATATCACTTAATGGACATATGATAGAGAAGGATACCCCGATATGGTTACATCAAGAAAAGCTTCATAAAGATGAAAATTCTTGGCATGAATCAGAAAATTTCATACCGGAGCGATTCCTTAATAAAGAATTAGGTAACAACATATTCATACCTTGGTGTGAAGGTATTATTAGAAATTGCCCAGGAAAAAATATGGCCATGATTATATTAAAATGTTTATTGATATTATTATTTAGAAAATATAATATTGAATTAGTTGATAAACTTAGTCCTGCCAAAGTAATGTACTTTGGTATAAATCATTCTTTTAATTTAAAGGTCAATATAAAAAAGAGAGAAAAATTTTATTGACTAAATTTTTGTTATAGTGTTTAAAAATTGTATATTTAATTCCCCTAAAATAAATTAATTTTTTTTTCTGAAAATTTTTTTTTTTAAAAAAAAAATTTCTTGTATATTAATCGTTTCTTGTAAATTGATCAAAAATTCTTCATTTTGTGTCAAAATAATTTCTTAATACTTGTGGAATTCTGCGAAGTTATTTTTCATATCACCATATATTTCTCGTTTTCATTTGACAAAAAAAAAACCTATTTTTTAACGTACTGTATATACATACAGATAAATTAAGGATTCAGCAAACCTATAATAAGATATATACTCTTATTTTATAATTTAACATTAATATTCCATTATCCCTTAGATTGTCTAGCAGGAAAATTAGCTTGCAATCTAAAAAAAGTATTAATTTTTCAATAAAATATAAAATACTAATTTTAGTAATATAATAATTATATGAAAAATATAATTTACTATAATATATATTATCAACTTTATTAGAAGATATTTTAAGTTTATTAAGTTTTTTAAATTAATTCAATTTTAAATTAAATTTTAAAAAATTTTTATAATAATTTCTTTAAAATTTATATAATAGCAAATTAATTAAATGCAACTTCTTTTATAAAATTATTGATAGAATATATTAAATATATATAATTCATAATAAAAGCATAAAAAATTACAAAAAACTAAAAATTTAAAATAATAATAAAATAATAACATTTATTATGTTAATATAATTAGGTTTAGCTTTTTTTACTTGAAAATTTAATTACTACTACAAGTTTGATTAACTTTAATCATTAATTCAAAATGAATGTAGGACTATATACTATAAAAAATATTCTAAATTTCATTTGCTCAATAATTAAGTTAATGTTGATTGGCTTTTATAATTATACAAAATTCTAGATAAAGTAAATATTAGTATGAATTTTTTTTAATTGCTAAATGTTAACAATTAGGAATATATTTTTGTTTCATTGACTCTAATGTAATTACTGATCAAACAATAAAATCATCAGTTGATGGGATTGATTTTTATTAATTTGTAAGCTTATATACAATTAATTTTTAAATATACTTATTTAATATATTATCTAAAATATATCAGCTATGCCTAAATAAATTTGAAATAATTTAAGGTGAAAAAGAAATTAATAAAAATTAAATTATAAAAAAGATTAATTATGATGATAATAATATACATATTCACATATTTCAGATTTGTATCTTCTAAGATAAGAAGGATTATTATTGACTTTTAATCTCATCAATAGTGATTGCTAGAAATGTTTAAATAATTTTAAAAATAATTCTAACAATAATAAATCTATTAATATTATTATAATCTCTAATAATAAAACTACTGATAATAAAGTTATAGATTATAGGATAAGTTTAATTTTAATGAGCTTGAAAGACAATTAGAAATAGAATGCAAAGATAGATATACTGTAACTAAAATTTATTTATATTACTATATAATTATAATTTACTTTATTATTATTTTTGTGTTTTAGTGAAAAATGATAATATTAATATTTCAGAAAAGTTTAGACAATATTAACATACTTTTCTGCATGACATAAAATTTAATTTTAAAGTTCTAATATAAAAAGATACTTTTGATATAGTGACTATTAATTAAGTAATTTAAAATATTGTAATATATATGCATTTTTAAGAACTATTATGTGCCTTTCAAGATATGTTCTAATTAAATAACTTTATCTAAATATTCATTAGGTAGTTCCTTATATAAAATGAAAATTTTGTAAGAATAGGAGCCATTAATTTTATATTAATAAATATTTAGCTTTAGTCATATTTGTAATTAAATAATTTTAATCTAAAGCACCAAAATAATTTGATAAGAATTTTTTTCTTTAGCTTTTCACTTTATATTACTAATAAAGCCTGTTTCTATTATATTCTAATTATAGTTTTTATTTTTTTATTATATATCTAATATTCTGCTTATTTATTTTAAACAGTAATTTGTAATTGCTAAAAATCAAAAATATTCCTATTCACTACTCTTTTAATAAGATTTTTTTGTATTATTTTATTATTTTATCAGCCTTTATATTATAATACTTTTATTATTCACAGATTAAATTCTATTGTAATTGTTTCTAAGAAATGATAAAACTATTGTACTTTAGGTACAATAAATTATCATACCTAAGGAATGATAATACTATCATTTCTTAGGTATAAAAAAACAATTGTTCCTTAAGAATAATAAATGTATCATACCTTAGGAATAATAAAACTATCGTATTTTAAGAATAATAATAAAATATTTTCTTTTTAATAAATTTATCTTATAATTTTTTTTATTTAATTGCTAAGATTTTTTTATCTGTTATTATAATATTTAAATAACTATTTATAATATTTGTTAATTTTATAATAGTGATTATTTTCAAGTCAGTATTAGAATTATATAAATTAGAAGAATTCTTTTATACTAAAGAGTTTTTTCTTGATAAGATGATTCTGATTTAATATTATAATTTTTTAACTTATTTTTTGGATTTTTTAACTGCTTTTTAAACTAGAGATATATTTTTTCTTATCTTGCATATTCTCATTAACTTAATATAACTGATTTTTTAAGTTAAAAATTTTAGATTTTAACTTTACCTTTATTTTTAAAGTATTTTTAAAACATCTATTTTTTTTATTGAGATTTTAGATTTTTGCTTATATTAAATATAGTTGATTTATTTGTTTTTTTGTTTTAATAATTATTTTTTATTTTTAATTATAATGCATTTTAAAAATAATAATTCTCTTTAATTTAATTTATATTATTCATAGATTTTTCTTTCTTAGATGAGATTTACAAAATAATCAGAATTTTATTTTATAAAATTTTTAAAGATTATTATCAAATGCTAAAAATATACAAATAGTTTATAAGAAAACCTAATATAATTTATAATAATAAATTGGTTAAACAAATAAGTTTATATAATACATATAAGCCTAAATTTAAATATATTTTATAATCATTTTTTTATTAATATTATTATATTTATAAAAGTTATTTAAATTGATTTATTATTATATTATATTTTTTATGATCAAATTAAATAAATTTTATAAATTTTACATTTAATTGTGTAAATATTATTATTGTATTTAATAAATAAATTCTTTAATTAAATATAATTTTGCTAATATAACTAAAGGATTTATAAAACTATTTAATTTTAGAATATATTTCATTTTTTGATCTAAAATTAAAATTTTAATAATAAATAGAAATGTTAAATTTTAAGATAATATAAGTTCTTTATAATAGAAAAAGTAGAAATTATAAAAAAATTTTTTTTGAATTAATGTTAAATCTGAATTTATTTTACTAAATAAATATTTAATTTATAAAATAAAAAAAATATTTTTGGTAGTTTTTGTTTTTTCTATTGTAAAGTACTTATATTATTAAATTAATATATAAATATAATATTAGAATTTAACTAACTAATTCTAAAAAAATTATGAGTATTATTGAAAGATTTAATTATATATTACAAGAATAAACATTTTTTATAATGTTATTAAAATAAGATTATCTCCTATTAAATACTATTAAGTTTAAATAAAAGATTTTTATTTTTTTTTCTATAAACTTAATAATTCTGTAATTTAATTTTAAGTATTTTTCTATTAAAGCTTAAAAAAAAAACCATATTTTTACTAAAGCTTTCAAGCTACAAAAAAGATCTATTAGATTTGATAAATCTTAATATCTTAATAAGATATTTATTTAATTAAAAAAAGAGAAAATATATAACTAATATAAATTAGTCTTTTCAAATTTATTATATTAAAAATCATTAGTAAAAAAATCAATCAATTTTATATTAACTGATAAATAATAAAGATATAATTTAAAAAGATTATTTATGAGAATTAAATTTATAAATTAAAAAAGCTTCTGTTTTTTTATACTTATTTTTTATTAATAAATAAATTCTTAGCTAATTTTATAATATAATTCATATAGTTTTATAATAGTATTAAAATTTTTTAGTTCTTTTTTATAATAAGATTTATAATAATCTATTATTTAATAATATTTTCTTTATTAGAAAATATAAATTTAATATATATTCTTTAAAATCTTTTATTTGATATAATTTATTAATTCGTATTTTATAAATTTATCTTTCTTTAGTCTTTTATAAAATATTTTTACTTTGATAATATTAAATAAACATTTTTGATTTTCTGAAAAGTTAGCTTTATTTTAGATAATTGAATTTGTTTATTGTAAAAGTATTCAATTTATTATATTATATAAAGATTTATTTAATTAAATTATATATTTATATCTATTTAAAAATAAAAGTAATTTTTAATAATTACCTTTATAATTCTGATAAGATTTATAATAAAATTTGCATTCATTACTGAAAGTTGTTAATTGCATTTTAAAACTAGAAAATATAACCTTGCTTTGAATATGATAAGCTTACAAAAATAATTTATAGCTAATATCAGTAACAATCCAATATATTAATAAATTTTAAAATAAGATTTAGATGTTTAATCAATATAGTAAAGAGTTTAGTCTTTAAGGTTAAACTTAACATATATATTTTATCTAATAGATTAGATTTTAGAAGTTAAATTTTTTTACATCTAAAAGTTAAACATTTTTACCTTATATTTTGAATAAAAAAAATAGCTTTAAAATAAGTTTTCTATTTATTAAAATATTATTAGTATATAAGAACTTGATTAATAATTTTTTAATCATAAATAATAATATATAAATCTATCCTTTAATACGTAAGTCTAACATCTAATTTAAAAGTTTAATTTATTTCTAATTTATATTTATATAAAGAAAATAACTTTAAAATAATTTTTTATATATTAGAAATTAATAATATACTAGAACTTATTTACTAATTTTTTGATTCATAAATTTGATATCTAATTTTAATAAATCTAATTTCTTTGAAGTTAAACTATTAGAACTTTATTTA